ATGCTTCCATGTGAATTTCTCTACCTTTTGCATTATGTTGAAACAAAAAGGATGCTGAAATGCTAACTCAAAGCAAGGTGTACGGCTAACATTGTCACTTCCCAGCTGCTAAACACTGAGCTTTTTTGAAGGAGAAAAGCAAAATAATTTCTTTCATCCAGATGATACAAAATAAAACCCAGAACAAGCAAATGTCATCAAGGACTTTAGCTTTCCAGGGCAGGTTGGGTTTGCATGATGGGTGTAATGTGTGAGTGTGTATTACTTGGATTATACGGAAAAATATGTTTGATTTCTTGTGATACCAAGAATTTTTCCCAAATTTCTTGAAGCTGCTCCCACTTTGTGCAAGAATATTTCCTAGCCTTTATTTCCTCACAGGGAAACAGACCTACTTCAAATCCCTGAATCACAGTTGCCCACAACTTTGACAGAAGTATCAAAAGCTCCATAGTGTGTGTTAAAAAACTTGCAAAGCAAGAAACGTGTAACAGAGCTTAATTTTATTCCAGTTTGAGCACAGTGGAGAGTAAAATGTGAAGAAATTTGATAATTTGACCAGCTATGGTTTTGACTGTCACAGCAGTTGTGCTGCATATTTCCAACAGACTATTTGCAATGGTGGCATTACTACTTCAGCAGTCATACACAGGAGTTTTGTTTAGCAGCAGGGGAAAAACACATGCCGCTCATTTTAATGAAAAACAAAATTAGCATTCGGTTTCATGAAACTAAGTACTTTCTAAATAAATAACACATTAGCACTAATATTTCATTGAAAACTATACTGAAGGGTTCTTACAAAAAAAAAGAACAAAAAACAACCCTGCCCTGAGGCAAATCAAATCTTCAGAAAATGTTTTCCTGCTCACATTTGATTCAGCCTTGGAAATGCTGCAGAAATTAGGAGTCTGTAAGTATTTTTAACACATTCTAGCACACCCATTAGTTTGACTGACTGGCCAGAGCTGCAAAAGTAAGAGTGACCACCCACCTTCACACTCTATAGGGATTTAGGCATTTAGTACACTCAGACTATATAGAGAGTGGCAGGTATAAATCACACTATTCTGTCAGCCTTGTTTCCTACTGAAATAAGGCTCATGGCATTTGCATTGTCCATTTGGGTGGATATCTGTCCCGCTTAACTTCTGAGTTGATGGGTAATTTAAATACAATCAAAAGAACTGAAAAACCTCACAGCTGTTACATTCTTACAAATTCTATGAATACTGATGGTGGGGTAAGGGAAAGGAAAGAGAAAATCTGTAGTTCACGGGGGGGCCAAAGCCAAAATTCAGCCGTAACCTTCAGCCTAGCAGAAGGTGGCTCTGTCAAGGAATGTGCCTCCTTTTTCAAGTAGAAATTGAACAAAATTGGCAGGGATGAGCAGAAGGAGTAGGACAAAGAAAATGAGGCCTTCAGATGCAGTTTTGTTGCTCATAGAATGACCTCCTTTCTTACATTATCGCATGATAACAAAGCACTCAAATACTATCAAGATGTCAAATTAAACAGTTGATTAAACTTCCTTCAGCTGGTTCCTTTGTAGTATAACCATGATACCCAAGAAAGAACTATTAAATGTACAGGCACTTCACATGTGGATTATACTAACAAGTCACTACTAATTTTCTATGAAGCTGACCACAAGTTTAGAAGAGTTTGCTAGATACCACAGGGTAGCTAATTAAAAATTCTAGATGCAATTCTCTCAGATCATGTATTACCTTAGGTATAAATGTTTCTTTCATTAAATGAGCACTGTATCTCATATTATTATTCTCTAGCTTCGTAAAAAACATCAACATTTGACTTCAACAATTCCTCAGTGCTATCCAAATTAAGCTGTTCAATCACTATTTCTTCCTGAGGATTGGCTGACCAGTACTACAAAAATTCTCTGTGATGCTTAAAAGGAAATGATGCAGTCTGAGTACTATGCATTTCTGTTTATCTTGCCATGGGTGTTACTAGAGGTCTCTGTACACATAATTTTCTTTGTTTTTCTGCTTTTTTAGTTTGGAGTCTTTGCTGAAGTTATGAATATGATACTGTGGGAGAACAAAGCTAACATTATCTGCACAGAGAATAAAAAGAACATCATAAACCACACAACTGAGTTAATATTTAAAGAACAAAAATTTAATTTGGTATGCAACTTTGTCCTAGGAGGATCTTTATTTTCAATGCTATACATGTGAAAATAAGAATGAATAAGTGGCTCATTATCTACATGTATAAAAATATAAACATCCTATCAAACATATGCAAAATCACCCTTCATGATATGCATCACTGAAAAGACCTATGCCTTAACTTCTAATTAAAAGAAAGACTGCCCTTGTGGATTTTTTAATAGCACTTGTAAATGCTACTGCATTCATCCATAAGTACATGAACTGTGAACAGCAACAGCTACAAAACGTAGACAGGACTCCAGTATTGTGCCTTTATATTTTTGTATGTTTTCATGTCAACAAGTCAGCAGAGTCGCTGTGTTTATCCATTCTTCAAGCTCTCAATAGAACAGACAAGTAAAACTCATTGACTTTGCCTTGAGCATTTTTCCTTTTAAAAAGTTTACTGCCATTACTAAGTAATGGCTCAGAAAAGTGTCATCTTCTGTGGCAAAGCATCAAATGACTGTTATATTTACGGCACCATCATTTTAAGCCTGCTGACGATACTGATAATGAGTTATTAGTAAATTAAAGGCCCATTTCTTAACACTAATAACACTTAAAATTTTTTAGCACAAAGACTAGAAAAAAATCCTGTTCATATTACATCCATTTTTACGTAAAAAGTGAGAATTACTGGGTCGTCTGCCAGGAAAGGGAGAGGCAACAATTAATCAAAAGACAGGCAATCTTTGTTAGAGATGCATTCAGCCACCTAGAAGATTCACATTCAAGCAAATATGTCATCAATTTAAGTTCTACAAGCTGATGATACTCATATTCAGTTTTTTCCATTGAAACAGGTATAAGAAACCAGTAAAACATTACCATGTTATGTACATAACATAATGTGAAAATGCTCAGCTAGATACATTATGAAATCCTCTAGCACTAAAATTGTTAAAAAAACTAAATGATTAGTGTAAAATGTTTATATACTGTATATATATGTACACTAAATCACAAGGTCAATTTAAAACTGCCCCTATACATAGCTCCTATGATGGATTTAGTAAGCTAGCAGATTCTTAAAAAAAGAAAGCTATCTAGAGCAAATTTGAACACTTTACTGAAAACTGATTTTATACAAAATCTTAAAAAACATACTTCAGAGTTACTTAACAGAAACTAGAAAAAGACAGTCATTACTCTTGAGAAGGGCACTGTAAAGACCTAGTAGCTGTGGTGACCAATGTCTTTTCACTTGTGGTGAAAGTTAAGCACAAAGAAGTCATCTCAGAGTAAGGCATAGGACAAACAGACTTCATTCCATCCTCAGGTGTATTGGCCTCTCACTGTATCTTATTGCTCGTCTAATTTGGCAGGTTTACATTTCCATCCTTTTAAAAATACTCCATAATACAACTATCTACAAATGGACAATATCCAGTGCTTTCATATGCACATCTTCAATCATGTTGATATACAACCTTGCTAATATTAGAAAAAAGAAGCCATGGTGATGCAAATTATTTTCAGTTTTATGTAGCTGTGCATGCACTTAATGAAAGACCAAGTGAACAGAGACTGAGCACTGAAACTCGATAGAAATGTAGCTATAGCTGTTTCCAAAGGAATTTGGGTTTTTTAAAAAAGCCCTACTGTGAAATTCTTTGGTTAGAATACAGGTGCCAGCAGTTTGGAGTTAGACCTAGAACTAGCATTATTGTTCAAGAGTTTTAAAAACATAACTTCAAGCCTTTAATATGTACTGCTAAATTCTTCAACACTTCAGGTATATTTAGGATATTTTTCTGTCTGAACAGGCTATACACATTCTTAAATCAAGTTTAGGTTTTTAAAGGGAAGTGCTTTTATACTCCAGACTTCAAGAAATTTATTAGAAAGAGCTGCTGAATCTGTAAAACCTGTGGTTCAGATCATCTGTTCCAATGCAGACTCTGGCTGCCTCCTCTGGGGAAGACTGTTACTCAGCAGTAACAAAATACAGCTCAGAAGTAATTTCCCCTGAAGAAAGTTGGCATCATCCTTGTTTTTCTGAGGAGAGGGCTCAAGCCTTTCTAAGAAGCACTAAGTTTGTCGAGGAAGAGGTACAGTGTCAGTGCCCAGATAATACTGCTATGAAAACTAAGGTAATGGCTCTTTAAAACGTGATTTTTGTCATCTGCTGGCTTCAGAGTTTTACAGCAGGAACATGACAAAAAGTAACAAGGGTGCTCTTGATGACAGTTATAATGTACATCTTGCACTAATTCAATGTACATGATTTCAGCTTCCCAAGACCCTTCCTGTACTCAGGCAAGCCTGGCTTCACCTCACTCCCATCATTTTGAGGTTATTTAAGGAAATACACATGGAGATTTCTGTCCATATTAGAGACAGTAACTTCAAGAGAATTATAAGGACTTCAGACCACCCATGGAAGTTACAATTCACAAGCACTTTAATTTTCCAAAGTGTCTTTGTTTTACCTCTCAAGGGAATAAACACATCTCTCTGAGGACACTTCATAGTTCAAATGGTTATCCAGCAAATCTGTCCTTCCACATCAGCCTTACGTGCTCGCTGTGCAGGCCCTGGTCCAGCTTAACAGAGAGGAGTTCAGAGATATGGGCAGCAAAGAGGGGAGATGGGAGCAACCACTTGTGAAGGCCCACATGCATGCCTCCTGCAAAATTGCTCATCTCAACAGATAAAGTATGAGCCAGTGCAAACCCCTCACAGTCAGGCTTCCTTTCTATGTGACAGTCCCTCACAGACAGGCATCGCTTTGATGGGTGGGGAAGGGAGGAGTTAAAAATGGACAATTTGGGGTCTGCCCACCAAGGCAAACTCCCTCATAAGGGTATTGAGACAGACATTTGTCATGCCATCTTCAACAGGAGCTGCTCAAAGCAACTTTAAATCTTCTCAGCCCCTGCCTGGATGATTTTTAAAACGCCCCACCCTGCCAGAGCTATACCTGATCTCTGTGTGGGGAGAGGGACAAAGACTGGGTGCACATGCATGTTTTTGTGGCATTTGGCTACTCCCAATATTTCTCTCCTCCCTTGCTACCAACACAGCTACTGGGAGATGCAGGAGGGAGGGTGAAGGTGGGAGCCAGGACACGGCCAAGCAGGGACACGACAGCCGAGGCACAACACGGTGACCTCCTGCCCCGGGGCCGTCAGGAGGTGCTGCAAGAGGGCTGGGGGCTGCGCCGGGGCTTGTGCGTGGCGGCAGAAACCGGGGTGAGAAAAGCACAGGGAGACACAGCCCCGCTTCACATCCTCCTTCCTTCGGGACGCGAGGGGACCGTAGGTGTGAGGGTGTGCAGGGCCGGCTGTCTCGTCCCCACGCCACGGGCCGGGCGGACGCTCAGTCCCGGCAGAAAACGTACTCGGTGTAGCTGGTCCAGATCTTGTCATCGGCGGGGCCGCCCTGCTCGGGAGCGAAGGCGCAGGTGCCGGTGGAGGAGCAGGCGGCCATGCGGAAGCCGGCCTCGGAGAGCCGGTCGAAGGCTTGCTCGAGGAAGTTGAACTTGAGGTAGTAGCGGGCGGTGTAGCGCTCGGGAGGGCGGTCGGGGTCGCGGCTCTCGTTCAAGGTCTCCCCGAAGACCTCTTTGGCCAGAGCCGTCTTGCCGCAGACGGTGATGCGGGCCACCCGCCGGAATTTGGCATCGGCCTGCGCCTCCCGCCCGATGGTGTAGGAGCCCCGGTAGCCGATGGTGATGTAGCCCGAGCGCCGCCCGCCCGCCCCGTCCAGCGACTGCGAGGGCGTGAGCAGCGGCCCGCCCGAGGGGCTGCGGCTGGCCGTGGGCGACGGGGCGGACGCCACGGCCCCGCCGCCGCCTTCCAGCGGCTCGGCCTCCAGGTACCCGAGCAGCGGCGGCGGCGGCTCCTCGGCGCAGATGGAGCCGTCGCGGTGCAGGACGGCGGGGCGGGCGGCGACCGCCCGAGTCTGCGCCAGGCGCCGAGCCAGGTCGGGCAGCTGGAAGTACTCAGCCTCCCGCTGGAGGCGGCTGCGCTCGGGGAAGTGCTCGGGCAGCACCAGCTGCAGGTCCCGCAGGTAGTCCAGGATGTAGCGGAAGAGGAAGCCGTCGCGGTCGAGGAAGAAGCGACCCTTGCTGTCCCGGGGCAGCTCGCTGGGCTGCTGCTGCGAGAACATGCGCCAGAGCAGCGAGTCGCGCACCGAGACCACGGTGCAGCGCCGCGTCACGTACACCTGCCCGCCCACGTTCAGCTCCACGATCTCCGGGAAGGAAGCCCAGCCGCCCGTCGCCGCCGCGGCCGCCCCGCTGCCCGGCGCCCCGCTCCCCGCCGCGGGCGACACGCCGCCGCCGTTGGGCAGCCCGCGGGCGCTGTCCGCCAGGGCCATACCGGAGCGAGCCCGCCGGAGCCCACGCCCTTCCTCCTCCTCCTCTTCCTCCGGCCGCCTGGGCTACGGCAGGGCCGCCGCCCTCGGGGGAGCGCGCAGCCCTCCGCTGCTGCCCGCCGCAGCCTCCCGCCCCGTCTGGCGCCGGAGCCGCGCTGCCGCTGCGCTCCCCTCGGCCGCGCCTCTGCCCGCTGCCGGACAAACTCCTCCGTCGGGCTGCGAACGGAGAGCCCCGGCACCGGCGGCACGGCCGTGTTTATGTAGCGCGGCCGCACCTCGCGGGAGGCGTGGGAGGCTGGCGGGAGGCAGAGCCGAGCGCACGGGGAGGAGAAGGGGATGGCCCTGCACTGACGCAGGGTCCCCCGTCGTCGTCCGTCCCCCGTTTCCCCCCCTCCTTTCCCGGTCCTCCTTCCCCGGTTGCTCGGGGAGCCTCTCCCCGCCCGGTGCGCGCCCGCCGGGCTCCCGTCGCCGTGGGTGAGCACAGCGGTGCCTGTTCGGCAGGGATAAAACCTTGGGGGTCCCGCCTCTCTCCTGCCTCCCCTGTGCCCCTGAGCGAGGCTCCGGCTCGCTCTTTGGCTTCTCTGAGACGTCTCGTTCTCCGCAGGCAGGACGAGCCCCCTGTTTGCCCCGAAGTGCAGGAGCGGGCAAGCGGCGGGATACTGCTTCTCTGCCGAAGGCGCTGTGCTGCGCCCCTGCTAATCCTCCTAAGGCTTGTCCCAACCCTCTCCAAATGAGAACTCCGGCGAGATAACCGTGTCCCCTCCCTCCTGTCGCCTTCGCAGGAGAAAACGCGAGCCTGCGGTGTTGCCCGCTCTCTCCTCCCGCGGCTCCCCGGCCTGTTCCGGGCTTGCGAGACACCCCCATGAAGGTCTCCGTAAACCCCCCCCCGATCCTCATTCCCGGAGGGAGACGCACGGATCGCACCGTCGGGAGGCGCCGGGAGCGCCGTCCAAGGGGTGCCCCGGCGGCCGGCGGAAGACCCTGGTGGCGAGGGACACCTCGGCGCCGATGGGGTCCCCTCCAGCTGCCTGACGAGCGGCACTTCACCGTGAGAGACGAGCCTCTCGTGTCTGCGTGCATATTTGTGTATTTAGGTGCCCTTACAGCTCAAATTTAATTAGGATTAATTAGGTACATCGGGATCTGCGTGAAACATAAGCACCTATTTAACATGCGTTGGTAGAAAGCATTTGTTTCAGGCTTTTGCTTGAATTTAATCTGCGCCTCGGTGTCTCTGCAAGCAGCGGTAAAGAGCTGCTGCCTCGGTGCATTCACTGCTCTCCAGTGGGAGTTCACGTGTGCTTCCTTCCTCGAGAGAGCAGCTCAGGAGGGAGGACAGCAATGTCCGACGAGGGTGAAGGCAATGGTCACTTTCTCTCTTCGTTCTCTCGTAGGAGGGAACGAAGCCCTCTCCGGACTGCCCTGCTGCAAGTGCCCCTCTGCCGGGTGAAGTAGAAATCAAAAGATGCAGAGGCAGGGGCTAGAAGCCCTTCAAAAAGTGAGAAGTGGGAAAGGAAGGAAAGGCAAGTTAGCTCTTGAGAAGCAAGATAAGTTTGCTCAAGAGAAGAAGAGGAAGAAGAGGGGGAGTTGAGAAACAGAAGTTTTGAAAAGGGAATGGGTGGTAAAAGGGAATAATGTGTCAGGGGAGAACTGACAGGGAGATACTGTGGTCTGGGGGGAGTGGACACTCAGAATTTACAGGAGTTTCATCTGAACAAGACTAAGAATATGGTAGAAAGATGTGGACCACTACTTTTTCCATGTTGGAAATCCAGTTACCAGGGTTTTGACCAAGTATTTTCATTTGTGGGAGTAGAATGGCAAAGTAGGTTAATCTGATGCTTTGCTGACATTTTGTTACAAGAGCTTGTTTCTCTTTTTTTTTTTTTTTTATTTTTTGTTTGGTTTCATTTTGGTTTTTGTTTTGGTTGTTCGTTTTTTGTTTTGGGTTGTTTTTTTTGAGAGAAGTAGAAGAGAGGTTAAAACAGTTCTGAAAGATGAGGGAGGAAATTAAATAATCTTGAATTATGTTGTTTTGCTGCCCATTTAAACACCTGAGCTTGTTGCTGGAGGAAAAAAAAGGGGGGGGGAAATAACATGACATGTACTGCCACACGCAGAATTTTTGTTTTCTTCCTGTATACTATTTCAGGGTCAATTCACCAGAGTAAAAGCACATGAAATTTTCACGTGGTGGTTTGCTGGTGACAGTTTTATGGAGTTGCTTTTACCTCTTGGTCTCTTAATGTGGCATCTCCCCCCACATCACCCTGCTCCCGGCCGTACTTAGCAAGAAGCCACCTCAAAAGCCTCCCACAGATTCGTATTTTAAACTCCACTTCCCTAGTGTGGGCTCTCTATTGAGAGCACTGTGATTAAACTGTGCACCCAGAGGATGAGATCATATAATGCTTGAGCAGGCGCTTATTCATAGCAGAACTTGCAGTGGAAGATTTTGTACCTACCAGCAGGTGAGTCTTAGCCCATATTAAAAAAATGGGATCTTTAATTCATCTGTTAATTAAAATTATTTCATTTTTCTGGCATTAGGTGAGTATCAATGCAGATTAAGGAAAAAAAAAAAACCACTAACATATTCATTAGACCTGACTTTGTTTGTCTTGAGCTTTGTTAGATTTGAGACCAGACTTCATAAGACCTGAGCTTAATGGATTCTTCCAGTGCATATTTTCAGAATCTTCAGAGATGAGTAAGTTATGCTGCTCCTGCAGGCACTGGCTCCTCTGAGCTCCTCTGCCTGCCTCTGTCCCGTGGGAGACCAGGTGACAAGGACCCACCTGCTCCTGTGCAGCGCCCTGGGCTGTCCAAAGCCATGCACATCAAAGGGGTGGCGAGGAGCACAGCTGACACAATAAGGTGTTTGGCCCACTGTCCCAGGTTTCTTTTTAAGGGCACAAACCAGTCCATCCCACTACCTGTTCTCTCTGTCAGTGTGAAGCTGACTCCAGAGTCCCCTTCTAAAAGGGAGCAAGGAGCCTTCTCAAGACACTGCTCATACAGCCTGTTCAACAGTCCTGGGCAAAGACCCAGCTTGCAGTGTTTGTCTCTGACATAGATGTCATTTTCTAGCCTTAAAAACATGCCCAGCACTGAAATAACTGTTTTGAAGCTACGTCTCTTCAGAGAAATTATATTCTGTGGGCATCTCACTGCTGCTTTATGCCTTGCCTGGCTGTGAGACTTTGGTTATTGTGACTTCTTTCGTCAACAAATTTTTCCTCTTTTCACAATATGTTCATCTAATTTCTTCTCCATTTCCCCATCTCTTTTCATTTGGCAACGTTTGTCTCAGTGAGGAGGATTGGCCTTCGTCTGTGGGTATTACAATGGGTAAATATATCAACAATTTTTTACATATGTGTCAGTCACTGGGTTGCGTAACACAGTCGTAGTGGTTTATTCTTATTTTGTGTGGGAGACAGTGAAATATTGGTACATGAAACATTAAAGGCTGCCACAGAATGCCTCCTGTAAGGCATACAACCCCCATAAAGGCTGGTAAATATGAAATAAGGTCTAGTGAACAGGCAAGGCTTTATGACAATAAACATGGAGTTGAATATCTCTGACTGTGCAGTGTTGGAACATTTCTGGGCAGTAGCTCTTACAGGTAAGACAGTCACATTTCAGTGTTTGCTATTAGCTGCTGACCAGAACTGGCTACAGGGACACTATCTTAACCTGTCAGGATACAAGTTTTTCTTCTTTTAATATTTTGAGAAGTTTACGTTGGTTTGGGGGGATTAGTTTAGTGGATTTAGGGGGCTTTTGTGACTTTTGTTTGTTTGTGGGGGGTTTTGCGGGGGAGGCTTTTGTTGTTTCCATGTTTATAAAGATGCTTCCATCGCGATGGGCCCCTGTTTTGCATTTTGGGCGGTGCACCCACGGATGAGCCAGGTTTATTCAGGGAGCACAGTTTTCTTCACAAATGGAGGAAGGGTAACACCTAGTGGCAGTAAATCCACATTGCTGTTAAGAAATACAAAGGGCTCCAAAGTATTGCCAGCATGACCCAAGGCAGATAAAGAGAAAACGATACTTTTTCGGTAGATGTAAACTATTATGTATTCAGCTTCTTCGTGAGAAACTTAGTAGGGCAAGAGCATATTTTATCCCTTTTCTGAACTGAAACTGAGTTGTTATTTGTTCTAGCAGTCTTCGCTGTGTGAAGTGGTATAATATTGCTTAGGAAATACCTAATTACATATGACTGCATTGCTTGAATTTTAGTACTGAGTTCAGTGAAATATTTAGCCTTCTCCATAAAATCATGAAAAGGAGTTAACGATCTAAACTGAATTGGAGGTTCAAATACACACTCATTTAAGCTTCAGTCTTGTTTAGACAGTGCAAGAAAGAGAGTCTAGTAGTCCCACAGCAGGTTATATTTCCTAAGAGTCAGAAATCCTTTGCTTTTTTGGGACTTACATGCTCTCTAAAATGTGTGCAGTTCCATAGGTTTGACTTTGACAGTCAATGGAGGGCTATTAGGCTGAAACCTTTCCCATTTCTGAGTCATTGTTCAGAGTGAACTTATCAGCCTCAGCATTATGCTCAAGTGATACCAAGTAATATCTCCAAAAACTTGAATTATGCATTATTCCACCCAATGACAGAAGAAGAATTCAACTCCTTCTAAAGAGAGGCTGTCTCTCTCTGCAAACTCAGTTTCACAGGCTGTATATAGTTGAACACAAATGTATACATTCACAGATTTCAATATTTCATGTGAATTGTAATGAATGTTACCTGTCAAGTTACATCTGATAATATCTGTTCATAGAAATTGTTTTGTCTGTGTTTGCATTTCCAGCTAGATGCATTTAGCTGGAATTGCATGTTCTAGGAAATCCAGCTGCCATGGAAATTTGCACATTCAAGCATGAAAGATGTTGAAGAGCCAGAATAACACAGGATGTAAGGGACCTCAGAAAGTCACCAAGGGCTCATTCACTTTCCTCCTGCCAGGGTGCTGCAGACATTTCTTTGTATAATTTTGGGAGGGCAATGCTGTGCAGAGTCTGGAGAAGAGGGAGGGAGAGAAGGAGGACAGACATTAGCGGTGTGTTCTGTGTCCTTGGCCGATAGAGAGCTACAGAGTGTGACTGAGAAACATAATCAAGTGAGCAATTAGTGAAGGTCAGAGCTGTGTTAATTTCCTTCAAGCCCCTTTGTGACAATTAGAAGACAAAAAGCACCCTCTCAATGTTGTGGGGACATGCAGGTAGTTTCTGCCTCAGTGAGCAGGAGCACTGAAGGGGACACCTTCCACACACGTCTTGAGCATCACTGAATTTGGAGAACACAAGAAAAGAGGCTGTGCACCCTATGTCAAATGGGGAGAAACTCCCAGCTGCTTCTTTCCAGGTGATATCTAGGAAAATGTGATAACTGATCTCCTGTTTTGGTTAATTATAAGGAAGTTACAGCCCTGTCTGATACCAAAGGAGCAGAGGACAGCTGTGTCATTTTATACCAAGCAGTGGTGTGGTATTTTACATGCACAACATCTGAGGCTTTTCTCCTATGCTAAATTACTCACAACCCCTATGGAGCAGCTTTAAATCAGAGTTCTTTTTGTGAGTCCTGGCTCTCTGAAAGTAATCTTCTGCATCTCTGTGAAACATTTCAGTCATGTCTTCAAATCTTCTCTCAGCAATTCTCCTATCTGTGAATAAATAGCATTCTGACCTGGCTTCTACCACAACAACAACAGAAACACAATCACGCCTCTGCAAAACATGAGTGGAAACTACATCCACCTTCTGCATTACCATCAGTGTGAGTCAAGCGCCTTAGGCTGTCTCTTAGAACTTAACAGTATAAGGATTCAGCAAAAGAGCTCTCCTAATAGGGAAAATACAACTCATTTTCTGGCTAATTAGGATAAAAAAAGCAACCTCTACTCCCCCTTCTTACCAGCCTACCTTCCTGTAGGGTTGGACAGGCTTCAGATAGGTTTTAAAGGGGTAAAACCACATATTTTTGGTGCTTTTGGATACAATCTAAATATAAGAGCATTGATTTGCAGAGGAGCAAGTAAAGGGCTGTCCCTAAGCCTAATCCCTAAGTTAATCACAAGGATGGTATCATTCCTGGGTAGGAATTCTATCCAAGAAAAAATGCCTTTTAATGGAATTTCTTAAATATACAGGTCTTACTTACACCTTTTTCTTACAAAAATGTGTTTTAAAAAAGGAAGTAAAAATGTATTGGTAAAATTATTCTTTTTGGCAGAGTGATCCCTCAAAGGTAGAATAGTTAATAATAATGACATTGGTGATTGTGCTTCAAATTTTTGTATTAATTTTAGCTGTGATTTTGAGGTATACTGTTCCCTAATTGAGCATGTTTCAAAATCATAACTGTGGTCAGTGAACAGTAATTAATGCATTTGTTTTTGCTTTCTTCCACCATGTACCAATACAAGCTGTGCTTAAATAACATTAACTCTTTAAGTTAGATTAAAATAAACAAATGAAATGCAGACACTCATTTCAGCAGACTCAGACATTGAATGTGCTGCTTTGTTCTCTTTGCATCTTTTTCTGTTGAAAACAATTTAAAATTCCCATTATGTTTAATAGAAGAATTATCAAAATCCTTAGCAGGGGTGCTTACAGCATCTGCAAAGGTAAGAAGGGAGTGAAAGCTCACAGCATTTTACTATAGATAAGTTGGTAAATTATTTTTTTACTACTTTAGGTACCTTGCTTGACTACCTGAGAAAAACATGTTTGCACTGGTTTAGTTTGCTCCTCTGCTGAGACCCAAGTTTGTATCCCTGCTGGCAGAACTGACCTCAGTGCTGTCAAACCCTGCCAGGCTTGTGCAGTGTTTCACAGTGCCATGCTTGCTGCTGTCCCCCCAGGGTATCAGTCCTGAAGGATGCTCTGAGTAGAGGTGGTTCCAGCTCTCCACTGTGCTTCTCAGGGAAGTGTCTCTCCACCCAATTTCATCATCTCTCAACAACAGCTGAAATGAAATTAATGAAATCTCATTAGAGAATTGCTATTCACTTCCACAGAAGTGAAGACTAAAAACTATTTCTGTACACATAAAGAGAAAGAGAGAACCTTCAATGCTAGCATACTCACACTTGTTTCTCCTCCTTTGGCCTCAGAGCCTTCTACATGGTGAGTGCACTCCACAAGCTCTTAGCTGCTCCAGACATCCTGGAAAATATCCATTCTGTCAAGACCTTGCCAAAGTACATGTCAGCAATGGCTACAACTAGAGTTCATGCCAGTGAGGACATCTGTGAGTGAAGGCTGTAATTACACACTCTTAGCTCCTGTAGGCAGTATATCTCAGCTGTTCAGCCCATGCCAGAAAGGGATGCTGGAGCTCCTATTCACTGATACCCTTCCTGACCTGCTATGTAAAATAATGTGTCACAGAGAACATATTTCAGTTACTTGGCAGGGGAAATTATTCACTCCAAAACTGCCAAAAATCTCTGCCTAGAGGGTGAGATAGCCGACAGCCTTCTGTTAAGACCAAAATTGACTGCCAGAACATTTCCTTCAGCCCTTATCCTTAGCAGTGTTTCCAGGACTTCTCCTACCTGTTATCCACTGCATAAACCAACCTGATTTTTTCTTTGGACTGAGCCAAGCTTGAAGAAACTTGGAATCAACTTAATCAGGCATAGCTGATGTTACCCAGCTTGCTGATGTGCTGTGCTAATGAGATGTTATTGCCCAAAGTAATGAAAAGCATCTGTTTCTCACCTGTAAAGAAAGACTAAGGGTTGCTTCTATCTACTTGAAGGTGAGTTTGACAAGCTTGTCTTCCCTCTTGGAAAAGTTCACTACATGTATTTTGCTCTTGGCCTCTTGGAGAGGCCCAAACAGAATTCAATTCATGTGTCTAGAAAATTCTGAATGTGCTTTCCTGTTGCAAATGTTTACACAGAGGGATTACTACTCTGCTTTGTAGGGATTTCCTGTAAGATATCATCTATGTATGATCCATGTTTGTAAATGCAAATAACATATTATCACTAAAAGTAAATATACCAACAGAATAAATGTTTGAGAGACACATGAGAGATATATGGAATGAAGAGTGTGTTTAGATTTCATGAAGTTTTAATGAAGTAAACATCTGGATTTACAGAAAATCACGGCCAGTTAATTCCAGCAGCCTACAGAGTCTTCAAGCCCTTGAGAATATAGGAATTAGATTTTTAAGAGGCTCTTTTCTTTTTGTATACTGCAAGCTGTTGAAAAAAAAAAAGATTATTTGTTAATTGCTTATGAACTAAGCAGAGGAATTATCTTTTCTATGTCAGCAATATGACAACAGCAGAAGTATATGCCCCAAAGTTTTGCTAGCCTGGAAAGTGCTGTGCCCATGCAAAGCAAATTGTTTATTTGTTTTCACCTTTTAATTTTTCATGACTGTTGTGTTTGTATAGTTCTTGCCAGAATGCCTTTCTCAGAAAATGGAAAGCTTTCTTCATTAATGCTTGTATTTTTTAACAGAATGCCAAGAGTCTAGATTGTATCAGAACTGAGTCCCCTGAATAAAATCCCTTCAAATAAAACAAGCAGAAAAAAAATCTATTCATCTCAAGGAGGTTAAATCACATATAAATAGGTTGAGATTATAGGATGGATCTTAGTGAAGGGGAAGCTTATCTGAGAAGCAGAAGATAAGCAGAAAGCCTCCAGTCATAGTGACAGTAAAAGGCTTCTGAAAGAAGAAAAGATCTCTTTTTAAGTCAAGATGCTGGTTGTGACTGACAGTCTGAAAGAGGGAAAAAATTAAAACTACCAAGTATAAGGATTGTTAAGAGGGAAGAAGAGAAAGGAAGAAACTAAATATATAGCTAAGGAAAAGCAAAAGAAGTATGGCATTATTATTTCTGTATTTTATAAGCCCTCAGGCACATCTTTTCTGTGCTTGTGGGGAGTACAATAACCATGTATTTAATACTGTGTGTAATACTGATATATATAATATTGACAATAAATGTGGTTATTCAAACCTGTTTGATAGGGGAGTGACTTGAAAATACTCATCAGTAACCTGCCCAAGTGATGTCTCTTCTTAACCTCTCAGCCTCTGTCCCCAGGTCAAGGCTGATGTGGCTCTCTTTGATTTCTAGTGGACAAAGATGATGTCTGGATCACTACCAGCTGAACACAGGAAAGTTCATACTCGTAGGGGAGGTTCTCATTACTTTTTCCAAGAAACCTCTACCTTCATCCTTTTAGTGTGCTGTTGCTTTTTTCCCTCATCCCCAGTGAGTGCTCAACACACCTGCTTGGGACTTCTTTGCTTTGTAGTAGAAAGAAAATGTTTGTGAAGGCAAAGGAGGTGCTTACCTGTGGCCCTAAGGGTCGGCATCTTTGCAGGTACAAGAGGGCACATCTCAACAGTGCCAAGTTAGCTACATGTCCTGCATCCAGAACAGGGCTCAAGAGTAGGATGGAGTGGAGGAGCAGATTCATGGAATGGAGAGGGTCTTCTGGTAGCTATAGGGAGGAAAAATATTTTAAACTATATTTAGTATGAGTGATCATACTACACACAGGAGCTCTTCAGAAGTGAGCTGGGCACATTCCAGCAGTATGTATTTGATATACAGGTTGGGATACATCAAGGTAACCTCATCTATACATACTAAAGTGACTGATATGCTGTAAAACTGATTGCAACATCTGCCCAAGTAGTTTCTCCCTGCTTCATGTAATTTGTTCTTCTACACAAACCTTTTCTTTTCCCCATACATTGAGCAAAAATGGTTTTGCTGATATTGCTCTTCCTCTGTGGAGAATAAAATTTTGTTTGCTAATCTCAGCTAGGTATTGTCAGTAAGCTTATTGGGCATTTAAACCTTACAGACCACACCAGATTAAGCTAATACCTGGTTTGTTCCATTCACCATACCTTATTTTGAGTGTTCTTGTAGAATTTAAGAAATTCCTCTTCTATATAGAATTCAGCTTACTCAGAGCAGAAAATACAAGGCTGTATAAGGAAATTTTATGACATTCTAAAGATTTTTGGTTGAAGACACAAAGCTTATTAGTGGTCTTAGTCGCACAACTTACATTAATTGGAGCTGTTTGCCTTAGTCTTGGACTAGGTGATCATTGTAGGCCCCATCTGACTGAAATATTCTTTTCTGTTTTCCTCAGCTGTGAGTATTTCAAACCTTGTTATGCAAATCACAAATCCATCCACACTTCTTCTGGCAAATTGCTGCCCAGGAAAGCATAACTAATTTAATGCATTAATCCCTACCCCTGAAGCACAAACATCTATCACCTGAGCTAGGAAGACTGTAGTTATGCTTATGGATTTCAAGTTGCTGTGTCAGAGTGAGAAAAAATATACTGTAAAATGCACATGAAGCCTGAACATGTTTTGTTTGCTAACACAGTGTGACTAAGGAAATGTGTACAAATTTACCTCCCCCCTTTTTTTTCTTAACTTCTACTTTCCATCTTTACTTAGGTTGAACTTTGTAGTAGCTAGATATATATATAATCCCTAGTTATATTCAATGATTTCTTGATTATTTGAAGTAGTAGTAGTATTTTATGTGTTGTGCATTCTAACTAGTCTGGGAATATCAGGTCCAATGTTTGTGTTAAGATTCATAGTAGTTTTCCTTAGAAAGGACCCTGAGTATGTTCACAATGCTTTCACTCACAAACCTCCTAGCCTGACGCATCCAAATGAGGACCCAGTTAAATACACCTCGGTTGGGAAATGCCAGGTACCTGGCTGCCCAGGAGGTAAGGCTGTATTAGTCCTTTTCTCACCCTTGAGAATCATGTCTGGCTGGGGAAACATTCCTTTGCTCCACTCTTGTTCAAGCTGCCAGTGCTAGAAGCTAACCCGCCTGAATTTGCGCTGCAGGAGGAAAGATACACATTGGAATGCATTTGTTTCAGTCGGCTCTTTTCTGACATCCCAAAGAGTTTCCAGGCACAAATAAAAATTACTGAAGGCAGCAGCAAAGCAGGGTTCAGGCTGAGGGATTTGAATGATTCATGAGCAAGGACTCCAATAGGGAAGAAGAATGGGCTTACAGAGTGGTGCTCATGCACCTCGGCAGTGAAGCAGCTGACAGCTTGACTTGATGAGCAAGGATGATCCTGATTCAAAGCATTGCAAGACAAAGCATGAGCAGGTGTTAATGCCACACTGTGTTCCAAGCACTGTTTTTAATATGAAAAGCAGTTTTCTTTAGAATCTAGCACAAAAAAAAAGTGGTGTTCCAAAAGCCAGGAAGCAACTCTCTCCCAGTGAAATCAACATTGTAAATGTAAATATAGAAGTTGAAATGTTGGCCTCTCTCAAGTTGGTGGCTGCAGTTCCCTGCAGCTTTTGCCAGTATGCGTGACTGGCTGCACAGCATGCACTGTCTTTCCAGATGCACTTCTGTATTTCATCTAAATGCTTTCTGGGGGAAGATCTGAAATTCAATTTCTGAAATAGTACAGTTACTTTAAAATTTACATAGGCATTGTTGTAAGAAAAAATAATCACCCTTTGTCAGTTTCTGGCAGCTTTTGCAACTCAGTAGTTAAATCACAGATGCTAATCTAATCTTTATTAAAGTGTCATCAAAAGCTTCAGGGTCACGGGCCTAGCTGTTAAAATTCCAGTATAGTTTCATTAGCACCAACTTTATAGTAACCCTTGGATATCCTTCACTATTCTGGTCTGTTGTGTCTGAATTTATTTGCAGAAACTACAGCTCTTGCCAGCCACAAACATCAGTTCCCCATTTCCAAAAAGGTTTATAGCAATTTTGGTAGCTACTATTTTTTACCATTTTCGCATGACAAATGTTGTGATGGTTTCTAATACGACCTTAAAATAGCGTTGCTTTAAGTGCAGTTCTGATAGTGTTTATCAAAGACAAGGTGTGTAAGACTCAGGCTAATAATTTCAGCTATATAGGACAGGTGAAGCAGAAGAGGAGTAAATACACACATTAACACTTTTAGGTCATGCATTTCAATAGGATTTTGCCATATTTTTCTTGCATATTGTTCTTACCTCTGTCACTCTTGTCTGTTGCCCATCGTGCCTTTCTTTAAGGACAGCATTGTTAATATAAAGCCTTAGTCTAGTGAGAGGTTAATTGCCTGCAGTTTCAGTAAATTCCTAACCAAACTTTCTACACTGAACCAGCCAAAGACAGCAGCATCAAAGCTTGTGATTCAACTGCAAAGCAGGGTGGGAAGGCAGCTTGCTTTCTTTTTAGGACTGTGAACAGGACTACAGTGGTAGCTTATATTATTACCTGATGCTTTGCAAAGATCAAAGTTGGTATTTAATTTTATGGTAACCAATTTTTGACTATAAACTTTAATTTTTTTTAACATTTACAGTAAATACCAACTTTTCACATCCAAGCTTTAAGAATTGGACTCAATTATATTTGTAGGTCCCTTCCAGCTCAGAATATTTTGGGATTCTACAGGAAAGCTTTGATGCCCCTGGTGAGCATGAGAGCCACGTCCCTAGGAGCAGCAGGTGGGGCAGCACTGTCTCTGCTCTCCGTTTTTAAGCACTGCAGCAGCACAGCTGGAAGGAGCCATTTCATCAAGAGTGTTTAATAGTTCAGGTTCCTGCAAACAAAGGCACTTCTGCCTATGGGCAATGCCAACTGACCTCATCAGGGTGGAGTGAACTTACCCTCCAGACTGTAGCCCTCTTTCTCCACATGGAATTCCTCTAAGTCATGCATACAGCATTTGCTCCAGTTTATGTAGCAAGGAGTAAAGGTCTATAGCAAGGAGTCCAAGTGATTTTTCTGTGCTTTTAATTTTAACCCAAGATTTATTTGCCTAAAAATGATTGAACTGTATATCTTTACTGATTTTGTTGGCAGCATCCTCTGGCAGGCACAGTTCCGTCCATCCCTAGAGGTTCTCAGTAGTAGATTCAGTAGCAGTGCCACTGAGAGGGGCAAACACTGCTCCTGCAATGTGGCTTCACCACATCCTGGTCTGGTCAGGAAGGCAATAGATGGGATGTCTGGCCATGCCTTTATTTTCTGTGGCTGCTTTTCTCTTCACAGAGAAAAGCAAGGCACAACTTCCCAAGGATATTGCTGGGATTCACATTCTCTGAATCTCAGAGAAAATAAAAAACAATTCTTATCTCATTTACTGCTCCTGTGTTTTGGAACAAGTGGAATGCATTGAGGAAGATTATTTACCTGAAGGAATTTGCTTGATTGGATTCTGGTGTGAGTGCTTTGATTCATTGACCAATTCAATCTGTGTGTGTGTCAGGACTGTCGGCTGACAGTCACGAGATTCTGTGCAGTTCAGTTGAGTTGGGTGCTTGTGCAGATTCAGTGTAATATAGTATAATAAAGTAATTAATTAGCCTTCTGATATCAATGGAGTCCTCCTTGTCATTCCTCCTGGATGTCAGGGGTTATCCTGATTTACAACAGTCTTCTCCTGTCTGCAGACTCTGCCTGTGGGCCATGGCTCCGAGGTCACACGAGTGTGCTGATGGCTCAGGAACAGGTTGTCTTGCAGACAGAGAGCTGAAGTGCTCCATGACTCAAAACACAGAATTAAATTTAGGCAATGTAAATAACCAGGGGTCCAAAACCAGTGCTCACCCCCTCATGCTCTGCTGTTTATCATGCCAAATAGGACATCTCCTACCTGCAGGGAGTGGGGGCAGGCCTGGAGGAGGAGCAGGGACAGACTGACAGCCGCTTCCTTAGCTCGTTGGGGAGTGACAGGGAAAGGAATGACTTGTTGCAAATGCCTGATGAGAGTAAGCCACAAGACCAGGCCGTCATGATGAGCGTGATCAAGTGGCATTATCCTTCCTTTTTAAAATTCTCCCTTTTTTCCCACTGTATTTTTAACAACCAAGACAAAAACAGAACAAATGAAAACAAGAAATGTCTTCTGTGGTCTCTGTTATCTCAAGAGGATTCAGATAAAATATGAGTTAGGTCACAGGAAGCAAGATAAAAAGCATAACTATAAACTGAGAAAATAAGTGAAGTAAAGAATTTTTCTTTGAAAGGATGAGATGTGAATCACTGAGGTCAACAGTTTCAAGACATGTTAAATTAGATGTCTGCCAAATCACCAAAGCATTTCTGTCAGCTTCTTTATTACATAAATATGGACCTGGTTTTGTTTTTAATCTGAATTCCTCAAATGGAGCATCTGAGTTATTTGATGCAGTGTCAGCAAAATAAAGAAAACCCTTGGCCTCTCTGAAAATAGATATCAGTCAAAGTGGAGACATTTGAAAGTTCCGCTCTGAGGTAATCTCTAAAATTTATTCCCATTAGTACGGGTGTCTTGTGAAATGCTTTTTTCAGTAAGGGCTTGGATAATTTGGTGAATCAGCTGAGAAAGGCTGGGGCAGACAGAAGTGGGAAAAGGAAATAAGCAGAATACGCTGACCCAATGTTCACTGCCAGAACTGAGAAAGGTGAGATAATTTGTCCATTATCCTGCTTCGGACTGAAATGGGCTGCATTTGGCAATGGATAAACTGACATATTAGCACAGAGCAGAATTACATGAGTGAAATTAAATTAAGTGAACACACACATACAAAAGTCTGGAGGAATTACAGACCCATCTTCAGAATTTTGTTAGCATTTTCAGAGAATCACAGAATAGTTACTAAGATTATTTTTGAGTCCAGCTGTTAACCATATTTTGTCCTTTCCTATTCCATGTGTCAGTTATTACTGCCCTCTCCACTGAATTATTCCTTTAGTACTCACAGCCACGTATCACACTGCTGAATCAGGATCACAACAAAACTTCCAAACAAAAAATACATGAAGCGCAGCGGGGAAAAATATGGGAGAGTCCCATCTGAAGTAGAGGAACTGTTCATTTCATGATGTTTCTGCAAGCTTCAGTGTTCTCACATACAAATGGAAAGAAGATGCTAATGTTAAAGGGCAGAATAAGGAACAAGTTAAAAAAAAACCTATAGTATGTGTCATAGGAGGTTGTCAGTGCAGCCTTCTGACTGGTTAGCTCACAGAGGCAGTGAGGTCTTTTGAAGCTTCCTCTCCCTCTTTAATCAGTCCCTTTAGAGCAAGCAGATCCCTGCTTCAAAGGCTGCAGGGCTCGTCAGAGAAGAAAGCTGCCTGCTCCTCAGTGGAGCCGTGGATGGCAGCTCAGTGTCCCACAGTGGTGGCTCCCCTGTGAGGCTGCCCAGCTCGGCAGGGTGGGAGTGGTTATACAGCAACTCCGGTGCTCAGGTGGCTTTGAAGGGTTTATGTGCTCTCCCTCCATTAGTATTGATCCTCTCCCTTTGACAGGACTTCCAAAGACTTGAAAAGATACTTGGTAAAGCATTTTTCTTACTTGATCCCTCCCCCAGAAAGACTAGGGGAATCTACAGGCTTCCTGCATTCGAGCTAGTTTTGTCTAGTTCTTTAAATAATAAGGTTTTCTTAATTAAAGTGATTGTTATATTTTCTTTTAAAATGCCTCTACTTTTTCTTTTTTTGTCCTACCTACAAGACTTTTCCCAGAACTTACTTGCAGTAAAGTGAGTAGAGAATTTTGTACAAGAAAGCTGCAGTGTTTATTTTGTCCATAAAACACCTCATTAGAGAACATCATTAATAATGACATTTACTGACTGAGGAGACAGAAGGTTAAATGCATTTCAGTATTTTCCAAGTCTGTGTATATCGATCTTGCAGCCTGTCATTTCTGGAAAAGATTTCCAAAGGAAAAAAAAAGTCCCTAATACAGCACCTCTATTCCTCATTTGATCTCCAAGTTCCCATTTCTGCACTAGTGTATTTTAAATATGAACACCAGTTATATTTCAACAAAGCTTTACTGTTTGCTATACTTTTCTTCTGATACATTAATTGAAATGTATATCTCAGCATACACATTTCCCTGCTGGTGACCCTGCTTCCCCTATTTGCAATTGGATTTCCATTGTGCTTCTACTTGCAAGTGCTGTAACTCTGTTTGCAGTACAAATCTTTAACCTGGAAATCACCTCTGGTGTGTGACTGTTCTTATGGGCTTATTTTCATGGTGTATTTAGAGACCAGCTATGCCAGCCCTGGAAATTTTCCAGAGTGCAAAGCAGGTCATGAGCAGAGTGTCTGGTAATGTGTCCATGAACAGCATATTCACAGATACTTCTCTGGTCTTCAACAAAATGTAAATCAAACAGCAATATTAGAATCTGGCACTGTTCTTGTTAAAGCCATTTTTCCAAGTACTATTGAGTTCAGTTAGAGCTAACTCAGGCGGGATGGGTGAACTTGGCAGATTGTGAAGTCTGGAAAAAGAGGGATAGAATGAATCTCAAGAGATCATTCTCAAAATCCACATCTGCACTAAGGCAGAAAAAGAAACCTTGAACTAATCCTGGCAGATTGGGGTAATACATTGGCAATGATTCCAGTAAAGGAAATTCCACAAAATTCTTATGTACAATATTTTAATACCCTTCCTGTTATAAAGGAGTTTAATCGCATAAGTCAAGAATCTGATAAATATTTAACAGATTCCTTTTTTTTTTCTTTCTCAGCAGATAGAGCAAAGTTGTTCAACACTCTGCACTTCTAAAATATACAGATTGTATTTTTTGTGTTGTGTACAGAAGTACACTTCCACATTAAAGCTATGCCAGTCTGAAGGTCAGATGCTGCAAAATGAACCACCCTACTTTTTTCCCCATTCAGCCAGCCCTCATGTGATTGTGATGAACCAGTTCAGAGGATAAAGTGGAGAAGCATTCAAATAAATAATAAAATTTATTTCCTAGCAATTTAGTTTACTGGATTAAGCCCGAGGGAGGGCATCAGGCAAGTGCCGGTGGTCGGATTGGCTTAGCTGTGATGTGAAATGGAATAGTTTCCCTTTTCTTGGATAAATAAACCTCCTCATACCTCTTTCACAGACCATTATTTCCAAGGCTGTTATTGTTCTTAAGCTCCTCTGAATAATTTCGAATTTTTCTGGATCTTTTTCATAAATGGTATATTTAATGTATGTCTCTATCCAAAGAATATTTAAAATGTATGATTCAGTTGTGAGTGAGCAGGCCATCAGAAGCATAAAAGAGATCAGTTGTTCCTCATATGCTCTTCTGCCCTAATTTGTGTGTGCTGTTACCATGACTTTGCCTGCCTGTGTAATAATTATTCTCATAAGATGGATGGATAAACACAAGTGTGTCACCCTGTTCCGAGCTTTTTCAATTTAAGAAATTCCAATTTCTTAAATTCAGTGCAGTCATTCCAATCTGCACCTTTCCCTATGTGGTCACTGCTCATGTGGCCATCTTATCATGTTCCATTTTAACTTAAGACATCATCTAAATTCCAGAAGAACCTTAAGCAAGAGTTTCTCTAGATGGGGTAGATAAATTTCCTCAAGTTTCCTTCTGATTTGCTCTGTGTGTACACTGACCTACATTGAGAGTAGGCATATGACAGATTCTCAGTCTTTCCTGTAATCAGAACTCTTTTGGGGTTAATGGCTTCATGCAAGTATAATTCTGTGGCACTCTAAAGGAATAAGATGTTAAGATTCGCTGTATTCTTTTAGATATTTATAAATTTAGATTTTTATAAATAATGTATATTTCCCAGTATAGATTAACTCTTGATTTACATTCATATATTTCTCTGAACACATGATCTAGACTCTTGAAGAATTTTTTTTCTTTTAAAGCCATCACCACCTGAAGCCATGTAGTCAACTGAGAATTTAAGTTTTTACTCTACCTGTTTCTCACTGTTATCACTGGAAAACTGGGAAGCCTGAGGATACAGCAACAGCAAAGTTAAAGCAGTAAAAGCCCCAAATATATGCAGCCTTATAAATCTCACCAATTGTTAACAACTGTGAGGCTGGAGTTTGTGCTAGAGAGTGCTGTGGATGAACCCCATGCTGTAAAGAAGGTGCAGCAATGATGGTTCCATCACTGACTTGTATCCCACCACGGGCTCTGGTAACCTGTGTGCTGCTCCCTCATTTGTTATCAGGTCTGGTCTGAGATGAGCCAGATTGTTCAGAAACATTCCAGAGTGCCTGATCTGAAGCTGAGGATTGCCAGGCTTTCCTGTCCTTCCTGTCAAGGCTCTCATGTGGTTCTCAGAGTGCAGGAGTGACCAAAGCCCATGGCAGAGCGGATACACTGCCCTGCAGGCCCAGAGGTGATGTGGGACCTTTGGGCAAGCTCCTCCCCTCCAGGCTTCTTTGTGATGTAGTGACATGGAGGAAGGAATCCTGCTCACCTTCATGTGCTGCCCGCCCTCTGGAGAGACCTCAGTGAGCTTTTGAAGCCATCTTTCCATAGTCTTACAGGAATTTCTCAGGATGTGAGGGACAGAGGGAGGGAGGGAGCAAGGAAGGAAGGAAGGATGGAAAGACATGCTGAGGATGGACAGAGACCTACCAGTTTTGTTCACCTGGACTCAGGAGCAAGCTCACCACATATTTTACTCTGTCAGAACACAGGAATGTTGTTGGGGCCTGGGAAGAGAAGACCTATGAGGAATCAGGGGACTTTACTGGATGGGAATATTTTCCTTTCCTTTCCTTTCCTTTCCTTTCCTTTCCTTTCCTTTCCTTTCCTTTCCTTTCCTTTCCTTTCCTTTCCTTTCCTTTCCTTCTATTCCCTGCCTCACAAAATTGTGCTTTTCCAGTGTTCTTTTGAGACATTTCATGTTTTAATCCCACACAGTCATATATCTTCTCTTTTCTCTCCTCCTTCACTGTCTCCATCCATCTTCACTAATTGACTTTGACTGGAGAGGCTTCCCAAACCTGCACAGAGCAGACAAGCATGGGGAAATATGCCTGGCCCTTGCTAACACAGGAAGAAAAGAGGCAGTGCAGAGCTCAGCTGGGCTAGGCAGGTGGGGGAAAGTCCTTTTGCCAAGGGTAGTAGGGTGAGACAGAAGGAAGCTGTGGGGAAAATCTACTTCTCTGCATCAGTCATTCCCTTCCTCCCTAGGAGCCCTTCCTTTGGCAGCAGCAGCTGAACACAACAGAAGCACAAAGCAGCAATGGGTAGGTCGGGCTAAAAGCCACTCAGATTTATTTTTTCTTTCACAGGCAACATGGGCACCAAACTATCTACTACAAGCTGCTGCCAAAGGCAGCTTCCTGCTTTGCTTTTGTGGTGAAACAGAATTGCATTGGCTCTGCCCCGTGGCTGGCTGGTGGCAGGGTGATTTACAGCCCACTGCAATTGTGCTGGCAGCCCATGATGGGCCATAACATTTCACTGCTCCTTCATTTGAGACTCATTTAATTCAATGGGGGAAAAAATGTACCTCCTGTCTTTTTGGACACCCCCAGCCACCCCTCCTTGAGTTTAATAAAATACCATACCAAATCAAGGAAAGAAAAAGGAAAATAAATGCCCAAAGAAAGCATAGACTTCAAAACAGACTTAAAATCTGCCCAATTTGATAAAGAGTGGCAATAGCCAGATTGCAGAAATAGAAAAATCTTCTGATTGTGGAAAGGAGAACTAAGAATGGTTTGTTTCCGTGTTATATAAACCCCAAAGTCATAGTGATGGCATTGTGCCATGCAAATAAGTTACCAAAGTCAGGGGGATCAGCTGTGTGAGCTGGTGGTACCACTACCACCATCTATTCTCACTGAAAATTTCCTTTTTCAATAAATAAATGCAAGACTCAAACATCACATTATTTCCCTTACAGCTAACCCTAGGGCTCCTGCAATAATTCAAGGCCATACAAGGAGGGACATCTTCCAGCTATTGCAGGGAGGGAAAAGGTAAATAAAATGCTGTCCTCTGCATCTAACAGTAGGTTTCATTTTTAGGTGAATAGTTTTAAACCCTGCCAAGACTGAAGCATCAACATGGTTGATCATTCCTATCATTTTGTGAAAGTAGTTATTTTTCTTGATTTTTAATTCTTCTTGCATCTGGTTGAATCTACTATGCTGAAGATGAGTAATCATAGGGAAAAAATAGTGTCATTATAAATTCTAAAACCCAAAATTCTTCAAATGCTACTTATATAAAAAGGACCAATTTAAATCAAATCATTAGCTTCTGCTTAGATGCTCAATTACAAGTGCAATAATATAAATGTTTTATGTATTCACAGCTCTTGTGTTCAAATTTAACCTTTCTTCCATTTTTGCTGTTATTTCTCCCTTTTATAAATGTTGGTGTAATTAAGCCCATTTCCTCTTTAGAGGTGAATACACAATCACAGCTAGAAATTCCTCAGTATGTTTTACAGTCTGAAATATGTGATACTCAATCTCAGAGCTAATAACTACCATGACATGTTTTATAATTGCACCATTAATCAGAGACTGCTGCATTTTAAAGTGTAATTTCAGGCTGTTTTGCAATATTTCTTGGCACTTTTAGAAGTATATAAGGGTGGAAAATGCATAATCTAGCTGGGTTCAACCACAGATGAGGAAAAAGCTGCTTTTTGCAGTTGTTGGAGTGCTCCAAAAGAGCAGGGACATACTTGTCACTCATGGGCTATCCAGGCTGCCTTGGGGATCTCAGTGAAAGCATGATGTCTGAACAGGTGGTTCTGTCCAGCAGCTAGGAGGGAAGGGTGGAAATTAACTCATGGCTTAACAATTAACTCAGAGCTTGAACAATGGGCACTCCATTAGCAACGAGTACTCTGTGTGTGGATTTTGTAACATGGCTCATTGTTTAAATCTTTCCACGAGGGGCTGTGTTTGGGAGGGACAAAGCTGAGAGCAAGAGAGAAAGCATCTGCTCTGAAAATTGGAGGAACAATTCTGTTAACTCACACAGCATCTTCCAGCACCTGTCTCAAGCCTTCTGCAGCTGCTGCCAGGTAAATTATGGACTCCCACAAAATTAGGTGATTTTTTTTTTTTTTGGCCCAAAACTTGTTTCTGTTAGAAGAATGCTGCTTTATTTTTCCTTCTGATTTTGCTGTATATTCTATAGGTGTTATTTTAGCCCTTTCAGTGCATACAAAAGTTTGTAATCAATCTTGGATAATTTCTTAGGGATTCCAAATCCCTGAGAACTACTATAGATGCAGAGAAGGTCTTTTATCCCTTAATCAATGATTAAACTTGTTGTATACTAGGTCTTGATACTGTATCTCCCCACCACCACAGCCTTGCTGGGGCCCATTATGTCCTGACAGCTCTGAAGTGACCAGGAGCATCAATTTTCTTGGTGCCTTTCTGTGTATGATGCACAGCCTAGCACAGTGGGTAAAGCCTCATTTGCACCACTGGAGTTCTGCTGGTAATTTAATTAAAATTGCCACATCCCTCACATGTGCTCTCACCAGTTTGGTCTCTGCTCATGAAACTCTGAATTTATGCTAGTCAAGTTTTATCTTCTCCCCAAATAGCACAAGTCATGTAATGACATCTGGCTGCATCTTGGTCACATAATGTAGACATCATGAGCTGCTCTTTGATTAAGGGAGCAGAGTGTGCTACAGGCTGCCACAGGCTGCCAAAAACAAAAAGTAGTTCTGGAAACTGCAGGTACACAACACCTATGTGTTGTCCCACACCCACTGCTATTATTCACACTGGAGATCATTGGAGATCATCAAACATCTGGCTATTTGCAGAGGCAGCAGGGTGCAGTGCTGGGGCAGGGATTGCACCCACCAAGGGGAGGAGATGAGTTTGGGGTTATGTGGTGGTAAAACCTCTGATCCAAATTAGACAGAGGGGAGAACACCCACCACCAGAGGTTCTGGGGTTTGAGCCAGATAAGATAGAAGGTCCATAAGAAGCAGGCACTGTGGAGGGGAGATGGTGGGTTTTGTCACATCAATTGTCCTCCCTTACACTTCTGACTTAGATGTAAATCCCCACACCTCGGGGAAAGTCATATTCACAGGCAGGCCTGAAGGTATTTATCCCTTCTGATGGGGGATAACTGGCTCAGCTACATGAGGTGCAGTTGTGCTATCTTAGAAGGTGCCATAAACTATCAAAGACCCCCCAAAGCACCCCCAGACTCATTTCCTAGTCCTTCCACCGAAGGATTTCATGTGATCCACAGTGTTGCAGCAGAGCCTGAGGGTGCTGCAGAAGACAGGGTAAAACTGAGTGCTGGCACCAGTAAAACAGGTAAAGCTTGTAGCTCTGGTGAGAGCTGAATTGCTTCAACAGGAATGTCATGGAGCTGCAGTGTCTTCTCACATTGTTACGGACCAGGTCTCTTCACACTGCTCCATAAATGATGTGTCTTGAATGTGATCCTGAGGGAATATCCCAGGTTTGTCTGGTGCCTCTATCTCACAGCTCATTTAAGCAAACCAGCATCTACATAACAAGTTAAAATGAGCCATGAGGTCTTGCATTAAGGAATAGCACTGCTAATTTAGGAAGGCAAGAAGGGCAGTGTAATGTAGTGCACTGACCAGCACATTGACTCCTAGCAACCTTTACCAGAACATGGCCTGGAACTTCCAAGATTTGTTATGGGAACTTTGAAAAAAACAAACAAGGGCGATAACTTCTCAGAGATTTCACTGCCACTGCCACTAGTTGTGCAAGTAAGTGAATAAGAGAACTACTGTAGGCTGGGAATTTCCAGGATGATACATTTCATGGTGCAATCATTGCCTATTGCATTTGCTGTGTGTTAGTGCTAAGAGTCTCACCTTTTCACTGTAATTAAATATCCCAGTAGAAGGAAAAGGAGAAAGTTCTGAACTTGTAACTTGTTTTCAGTCAGTCAGCAACAGCAGAGTCTCTGTAAACACAACACACTGGCACCTGTCTCCTGTTTTCTCATCTAAGCACAGGCCATGAACAAAGTTACTTCTTAAAAGCTGGCTTGGAAAATAGGAAGCTTGGGCTCTGTATTTTGTCATAATTTTTAATATTTCCTTAGAACAAAAGGAGCATAAGGCTAGGGCCAAAATTGCTTTCAGTAGCAAACATACAGTTTGCAGGTGTGGGCAGAGTTTAGCCTAAAATAACTGGAGGCAAAAGAAGGAAAAAAGCAGCTTTAAAATGTGATGTCAGCAGGAGAAAATAGACTCTGTGGGGCACTGGTTTTCTAAATCCTTGTTCTGTAATCAACACAGCTCATTACTGTAGCTGCGTGCAATGTTGCAAATGACATTTGGATGAACACATTTTCTCTTTCCACCACACTTGCTAGTTAACAAATTGTCTGCCCAAATTGCTGAACCATGAGTATTGTGTCAAAGAAGAGGAAAGCAGCAGACTCCCTTTGTCAGGGTGCACAGGCTGTACCAAACTCTCAGTCACTGATTTCCACCCTTCTTCTGTTCAGACCCCTAGGAATTCTGCTGTGCAGGTACAGGACTTTGTATAGATGCCTGTTCCCCCTGCAGTGATAATCATATTGCTTTCTTTTCCCTCACAGTCCACAGTGTACACCTGAACCTGAGGTCTGCAGACCACAGTTGGGAAATTGGTTTCCCAAGCAAAAGTACTGTTTCACTTAATTTTTTTTTTAAAAAACGTCACTTTCTCGTAGTATGTCAGTTCAATCCATAAATATTACTAATGTAATTATTGCAATGCATGGGACAGTCTGTCCTGCAATCAGGATGACAGAAGGAAGTGACCTCATATCTGAGATCAGCCAGCAGCATATGACTGCACAGCACACTGCAAGGCACATCACAAGTTCTGGGTCCGTCCATATTCACTTTGGAGTCTCATCAGGGGATTAAGGCAGTGGAACTTCTATCTCACTTGAGGAGGAGAAAGAAATGAGAAACAGAATGTGTTTATAAATTATATCCCAAAGGTTTTGGGAAAGATGGTGAACTTCAGGGTTTTGAATATCTTTTATTTAATATTTTTTGTGGTTGCCCAGGGTGGCTGTGGAGTCTCTGTCCTCAGAGATATTCAGAACCTAACTGAACATACCCTGCTCCAGGTAGCCTTGTTAGAGGTTGGACAAGATAGTGTTTGGAGCTCCCTTCCAACTGCGGCCAGTCTGTGATTGTATGGTTCTGAAATTTAAATATTTTCATCCAATTTTCTGAGAGAATAATGAGCTGAAAGAACAGAAGTGAAAGTAAACAAAATCTTTCCTTTTATCAGCCCAATAGCATTAACTTCTATGAACCTTTCTAACCACTGCCAACCTTGTCAACCTGAGCAATCCCAATATGTCAGGTGGATTTTATCAGCACCAAAGATAATTCTTCAGGCTACCTCTGAGGTTTTCCTCAGTGGGGAAATATGGGGGGCAAGTAAGAAGCACAGACGCACATTCTAACCCCATGGGGTCAGGATTTGGCAAAACAAACCCAGGACCTAGGACATGTGCTGGGATGTTTTATGTAGATGCAAGTTATACCTGCATGGGTGAGGGAACTCTGTCATACTCATAGAGAAAAGTGTGGGAATAGGTTTAGTAGCCATACTGAACAACTGCTCATATTTAAAAGAAAGACAGGACAAGGGTTTAAATGCAACCTTCACATGATGCAGGTTAGCCTGTACAAAATTATGTTTGTGTTTGTAGGGCTGGGTTTTAGGAGTTCCAGGCCTTTGGCTGTATCCACGCAATGACTCATCCCTGCTTCTGTCATTTAAGGCCCTTTGTTACCCAGTGCAATTTTCAGCATCAAGTTATGCACCAGCAGATGATAGCCAAAAGCAGAACTGGCTAAAAGCATGGGCAAAATAGGCAACTGTCTTGCTTAGAGCTTGCTGGGGAACAGCCGATTCCATCTTCCTCTCATGTTCCCTGTTCACGCTCTCCCAAAATTTCACAGAATACTGCTAGCCCTACTCCTCCCTCCCTCTGCTTGTGCTATTGTATTTGCAGGGTGCCCGATAGAGGAAGGATTGATGAATCTGACTCCATGTTCTCAGAAGGCTAATTTATTATTTTATGATATTATATTATATTATATTAAAGAATGCTATACTAAACTATACTAAAGAATACTGAAAGAATACTTACAGAATGCTAAAAAGATAATAATGAAAACTCGTGACTCTCTCCAGAGTCCTGACACAGCTTGGCACTGATTGGCCAATGAGTCAAAACAATACACATGAAACCAATGAAACAACCACCTGTTGGTGAACAATCTCCAAACACATTCCAAAGGAGCAAAACACAGGAGAAGCAAATGAGATAAGAATTGTTTCCCTTTTCTCTGAGGCTTCTCGGCTTCCCAGGAGAAAAATCCTGGGCAAAGGGATTTTTCAGAGAATGTGAATGCCACACTTGTGTTGCAAGATTTAATTTTGCATTTCCGAGGGAATGAAACTCAGTTATGCCTGACTGCTGAGAATCACAGAGACAGGCTGGAGCAGCTCAGAAATGGGTCTGCTCAGCATCAGGGCTGGCCCAGGGAGGAGAAGGACCATGTACCCAGGGACAGGAGAGGGGGAAGGACACAGCCTGAAACAGGACCTTTCAGTTGTGGTTAGAATCGCTCAAATTGATGTTTAGCTTCACCTCTAGACTCATGTTGTTATCTACCTGGAAGCACTCAGGAGTTAGATAAGGCTTTACAAAATTGTTTGGAGCTATTCTCAGTAAAGGGCTGAGGTTCATAGACTGTTTTAGGCAGCATTTATCATGTAAGTGCAAGGCTGCAATTCTGAGATTTGATGCTTTGTTCCCTAACCCAGGCGATTTCCATACTTCAGACATGGTTACTTATTTACTTCAGAATTATTCAGTGGCCTCTAGTCATGCTCCTGTGGGGTCTGCTCCCTTTCTGATGGGCTAGGCAGGGATTTCTCACTCACTATCTATTGCTAACACACAGTGATTCATGCTGTTAAAACACTGCTAAGTGCCAAGAACTGTCTTAATCCAATTTATGGTCTGAAATTCTTATGGCACACATTTCCCAAGTCTGAATTGTATGTGTTAGAAAGGAGACATATAGCAAAAGAAGAAAAAAAAAACCCAAACCAAAACAAATAAACAACAGGTTGTTTAAGCTAAAACAGCCTTTGCCATCCTCTAGTCTAGTACTGGACTTTTCCAGCCGTGTATTACTGTGGTTCCACACAGCTCTCCATGCTGCATATCTGGTAATGAAGTATTACATGTATTAACTTACACAACATGTAAACATGACTGGCTAAGTCCTATCACATGTGTCCCAGAGGTTTATAGTGCAATTAGTCAGAGGAAAGTTGAAAGAGAAATAAAAAAGAACATTTATAGGCAGAAGAGGAAATGGGACAAGATGCAGAAGTGGAAAGGCCTAATATTCCTTCCCCCACCTCAGGGAGACACACATAAATAGTGAGAGAGTGAGTTCCCCTGCTCACTGGCCACCACTCATTTGCTGCATCTCTCTGGGACGTACATCATCCCTGCAGGATGTGGACAAAGGTACTGTCTTGTTTCCTTGCACTGTAATTCTCTCTTTAAGCTTTCATATCCTCACTCCAAATGCTGCAGTTGGTGACCACCACACCATGGGATATGGGGTCCACCTGCTTTAAACTGCTTGTAATTCTTCCTTGGGACAATCTTAATGCTTCTCTGCAAGTGTGAGTGAGAACTTGTTTGCAATGGTGGGTACAATTCTGATCACTGTGGTGGTGTTTGCAGCGGTCCCAGGACAAAGGAAGAGGTGAGAATCTTGACTCCATATTTCAGAAGGCTGATTTATTATTTTATGATATATATTATGTTAAAAGAAAATTGTGTACTAAAATTATACTAAGAGAAAAGAGAAAAAAGACATCAGAAAGCTAGCAAAAGAAAGGAATAGAATGATAATAAAATCTTGTGACTGACCAGAGAGTCTGAGACAGCTGGACTGTGATTGACCATTAATTAAAAAAAACCACATAAGACCAATCAAAGATGCACCTGTTGCATTCTACAGCAGCAGATAATTATTGTTGACATTTCATTTCTGAAGCTTCTCAGCTTTTCAGGAGAAAAGATCCTATCAAAAAGATTTTTCATAAAATATGTCCATGGCAGGTCACCATTGCTAGAGAAAGAGGAATGCAGTGTGAACAGTGCAATGAAAATATATGAGCATGGTAGGGGTGAGTCCATATTGCAGAGGAGACAACAGCAGAGTTTGGTTTACCTCAGCTAAATGAAGGCCAAAAGGCAACACCAACACTCTGTGTGGATATGTACAGGGGAGTAAAGGAAGGGCAATGAAGAGGGGAAATGAAAGGAGATAATTTCCAAAGAGAGAGAAGATAAATATTCACTACTGCCAGTATAAAAAAGAAACTGTTTCTTTTTTAGGTTGTAAATAATGTGTACCTCTACACATTATTTCTAAGGATCCAGGAAGTGGGACATTTCTAATGGTCCAGGAAGGGAAGTTTGAGATAATTTTCTGAAACAGATACTAACAGCAGCTCACAGCCAAGAAGCAGGTTGAATTTGCATAATGGGTCATTGCTCAATAGGAGAGCAAAATAAATATCTATAATTCCCAGATCAGCAGGATCCAGGGACAAGGAGTCACTGCTTTTCAAAGAGGCAAGATCTTGTCTTGGAGAAAAGCTGGGACTCCAGCTGAGAGTGAATTCAATGGGAGCTGGGAGCTATGAGCAGTATGTGCAAGATAGGGCTGCCAACTCCTGCCTCCTGCTGAGCTCCAAGCTCAGCAAGATTTGGGATAGTAAGGCTGCCAGTCAGGGAGATTAAATCTTGCCTTCTTGTGTGGTAGTGGGTGCAGTGGCTTGAAATGCTACTCTCCCACTGATTTCAATACCAACAAGTAGGTGCCATGGGAAAGACAGATGTTTTTACTTCTGTTTGGGGGATGTGTGTGTGTGAATAGTCATTAGAGATGGAGATGAGATGGGGATGAGATAGAGATGATAATCTTGCATAGTTATAGCACCTGCAGTGCATACTCTCAAGGGCTCGGGGAGAAGCAGAAGAAATAGAGACCAGAAAAGGATAATGATGAAAGCATAAGTAAATTATAAATAAGTGGCATTTCTCGGAATAAAAAGAGGAAGAATTCAAACCTTGGCTTTGCTGATGCAATTCATGTAAGCAGGGGCAGAAATGGCCAGTGTGCTAGACAATAGCACAAAAACTGAAAGGATAAAAAAAGAGGAAAGAAAAAAAAAAGAGGAAAGAAAATAGAGTGTTTACTTTAAATATAGAGAAATATCTACTTCTTCTTTTTCTTTATTTCTTCCCTTCCCAGACAGTTACAGGAAATTTTGCCAAGGTGATTCATGGTTTGAATGCAAATCAGTTGACAGATGAAGTAATTCAGAGAAGTAAGCGAATGATTCTGGATACTCTTGGAGTGGGGCTTCTGGGTACCAGCACTGAGGTCTTCCACAAAGTGGCACAGTACAGCAAGGTAAGCTGTCTGGCATTCATGGCACACCCTAAGGTTTAGCTTTAAGAAAACAAGGGAAAACTTGGGCAATGAAAAGGAAATTTTGCCATGGTGAAATTCTTTCATGGATGGAAAGAGAGAAATTGTGCTCTTCCCACTGGAGACAGTGAAACTTCGGTGCTCAAATTACTTTTCACTTTGGATGGGCAAAAGTCTCTGTATCAGTCTCTATGCTAAGATCCCCCTCTACAAACACAGTCAACTAAGAACCCCTTCCTTTCTTTCACCTATGATATCTTATTAAAAACACCAACAAAGTAAGCATCACTTATCACCAGCCCTTCAAATCAAGGAACTGTTAATGAGATGGGGAGTTAGGAGTGGGTTACTTGCAGTCCATAAAACATAATTTTCTCAGGTGCATTAACCATGCTTCTCCTCCAGTCTTGCTCTCCTCAAACTAGCAGAGTAATTGACCCTGGAAAGGAACCTTCCCAGCACAGGAGTGCATCAATGAGGAGGAGTTCTGCCCACTGTTTTATTGTTCAGACCTGCCTGGGTGGAGTTGTGCTCCAGAGCTCTGTGTGCCAGTTAGTTTCTTCCCACAGAGAATTCCCCCTTCCAAACCAGGGTAATTTATGCCCTTTTATTCAGTTTGCAGGACCAGGAGGCCATCTATCGTTTACTCAGGCTCTTACTAACACACAGAAAACAAAACCCTTTAATGAGACATCTTCTCCAACAAGATGATGACAGTCCCATATCATTTAGGTTGGACTTGATGATCTCAGAGGTTTTTTCCAGCCCAGCTGATACTGTGATCCTGTCAATGGGTGGTGAGAAGGGGCATTCAGTGGCCAGAGTGTGAAGGTACTGAGTGCCAGGTGGGTGGTGTTGGAGCCCCCAAGCTCTGTTTGGGTGGAATAGGACATAAGCCAACAGGAAACTGACTTCCTTTTCAGACTTTCTGAAAGAACAGTATTTTTCTCATAAAAGGGAGCAGTTAGGTCCCCAGAGGACATGGTCTGCTCTCAGTTACATCAGAGATACAATGCACATTTATCCTTAGGTTCAGGACTTAGAATTAATTTATGTCAATTTGTTTCAGATCTACAGCTCAGATTTATCCAGTACCATCTGGGGCCACTTGGATTTCCGACTGCCTCCTCTGTATGCAGCTTTTGTGAATGGAGTGGCTGTAAGGGTTGCTCTTTTATTTGCTCTGAAATCACACAAATTGATGCCATTCTTGCTCTATAGAGAACAGAATGTCCCAAAAATCATAGCTTATTCTGAAGCCTCCTACAAAACTTTTCTAGATTATTCTCCTAATGTGCTTTAACTTCCCTCCAGTGAGTCTAAACTTAAGGTATAATATATGTATGATCCAGCTCAACAGCATCCCTTACATTTAATGTGGGACCTGGGGCTGTTGTCAAGTGTCAGAACTCTACATCTTACAACCTGGCAATCTTGTAGCAAGGCTACAACCTTGCTGTAGCTGCTTAAAAACGCACCCTCTAGCTCATTTCACTGAGCTAGATCCGAATTTCTTGCCAACTGGCAAAGTACAGTTACAGAAAAACACGGATGCACATATAGATACATACAGACATAATGTCACAAGGCAACTTAATCTTCAGTTACACAGTTTCCAAAAGCCAGTGATATATTTTGGACATGCACTTTGTCATTTAAGCAATAACTGACTCCCCAGACATTTGATTAAATTCAGATTGAGGCTGAAACTGTTTGAAATTGAAAGATGCACAAGAGGTGGGGTAGAAAAATTTGGCAATTATGCAAAACTAGGAAAGGTGACCAACCAAGGAAATAGTAATATTAAGCCTATTTAAATTAGTGTGACAACAATATCAGAGGTCCAATTTAACAGCTCATTTCCAATGTAGAAAAAATTACCTTGGAAATGAGATCTGGTACTGCTCAGCTCCTAGCAGCCCTTACGATATTCAGATCTGGCTGTTAGCATATATATGATCAGTTTATATCTTGGTCACAGGTCAATTTAAGCACTTACTGAAGACACCAGAAACACAGCTTACAGGGTACTGGCCACAACTTCCCTTATCCTGCACTGCAGGGCATCTTCCCAGATGGCATCAAAGGTTTTCAAGGCAGACATTGTGTTTTCTTCTATCTGTTTAGAAACAGTCCTCAAATATGCATAATCACAGTATAACAGGGCAAAACCTGACTGCTGGGGAGCCTGACCACCTTCCCAGTTTGCTCTGAGGGTGAACAGATGTGAAAGTTCAGGTTTTTGAGGTGTTTTAGTATGCTAAATAAAAAAAATGCTGTCCCTGATGCTCTCAGGTCTTTGGGGGTTCTCAAAACTTTGCGGGAGGAAGGAATGTGTGTGATAAGCAGTGCATTACAGACACTGACTGCATTTTTGGGGACAATCTGCTGCCAGATCAGCAGCCATATGCCGTGGTGGGAACACCTAAAACCTTCCTGAGCAGCTGGGCTCTGGGCATGAGAAAGAGAAGGCACCTCTTGGGATACTCTCTTGAGCCAAGCAGCTCATTCCACATTCAGACTGTTGCTTTTTCCTACTCCCAGCAACTCCAGGAAATCTGGTTTCTTGTGTGACAGGTCTTGTTTCAGTGTGCTTAAAATTCACCAAATAAAGCCTCCTGTACATTTTCAGGCTTGTGCCTCTTTACAGTAGATGGTTCCAGCAGAAAAATAGCTCTGATGATATAAATTCCATTTAGCAGCATTAGCTGCTACAGTTTTATGGTGCGAGTCCTAATGGCAGCATCAGTTGCAGCACTGGTGATGTAATTTCATTGTGTTTATATTTCATTATGTTTTGGGGAAAGAGAAAATTCACTGTTCACACGGTGGACCTAGAACAGCTGCTTTAATTATAGCAGTCTAATGAAAGCAGCAAAAGCCAACTGCAGAAAAAAGGAATCACTGTCACACCAGTTTCAGGCTGGTACAAGTTGAATTAGAATTATTCTCCCTCTGAGGAAAGATCTCTGCTGCATTGCCACTTCTCAGACAGCCATGTTGGGAGTAAAGGTCTTTAAAAGACTTTTGAAATTTTTGCTTTCTAAGGAAGATCTAGTTCTTTGGCACTTTTTAATACCAGTTGCAATAGTTTCATTTGACTGAGGCAACCTTACGAAGTCAGAGTTTATTTCTAACATACAAATGCTTCTCTTTCCACTAGGTGCACTCAATGGACTTTGATGACACCTGGCATCCAGCCACACACCCATCTGGGGCTGTGCTCCCTGCACTGATTGCACTCTCAGAGGCCTTCCCTCAGAAGAAAAAAATCTCGGGTCTTGATCTGCTCTTAGCTTTCAATGTGGGAATCGAAGTGCAAGGCAGGTTGCTGCACTTCTCCAGAGAAGCCAGGAATATCCCAAGAAGGTACATAGAAATGTTTAAAGTAGAAAGGGGAGTGGAGGTCGTTTTTAATCTGTGCTAATATACATAATTAAATGTTAGTTAACGTACAGGTGGCACAGTTATTCATATTTCCTAAGCTGTTTGTTGGAAATTTTGGGAAGGCTCATCTTACACATAAATACATTTGATTCCTAACTCTGTAGCTAATAGATTTTTTTTAAAGCATCGACTGATTCAGAATGAGGCAATGATCTCCCTACTTTGAATTTTTATACATTTAGAATAATATATAAATTTAAATAATAATAAATATAACTTTATATTTGACTATAAATTTGCTTTAAACTATGAGCAGTACTAATGTTTCAGTTGCTTTCTGGGAAGGACTGCAAGCAGCACTATTCCAGTTTTACTTTTTCCTGGGGAAATGTGACAGCTCTCAGTTAGGCCCACATGTGAATGCTGAACGTATGTTTCGTTATGGTTCAATCCATTTCCCATGGCAATGAATGAAAAGTTTTTGTAGATAGTGAATTCGGGTGAATTTTTGAAATCTGGTAATGAAGATACTTTTGTTTTTCAGGTTTCACCCACCGGCTGTGGTTGGTACGATGGGGAGCGCAGCAGCTTGTGCTAAACTGCTAGCTCTTGACCAGCTGGAATGTAAAAATGCCTTGGCTATTGCTGCCTCCTATGCAGGTGCCCCACTGGCTAATGCAGCAACCCAAATAAAACCCCTCCATATTGGGAATGCTGCCAAGAATGGACTGGAAGCAGCTTGCTTAGCTTTACAGGGCCTTCAAGGAAACAAGCAGATCTTGGACATGGAGTCAGGGATGGGTGCCTTCTATACAGATTACAACCCACAGACTCTGCCAACCTTGCAGTCCTACCCATGGCTCTTGGACCAGCAAGATGTGGCCATTAAACGCTTTCCTGCTCATCTTGCAACACACTGGGTGGCTGATGCAGCATCTTCTGTTAGGAGGAAGCTCATGGAGAGCAGTGAGAGTTCGCTCCCCATTGATAAAATCGAGAAAGTCATTCTCAAAGTCCCTGAGGTCAAATACGTGAACAGACCCAGCCCAGCCTCAGAGCACGAAGCACGACACTCCTTCCAGTTTGTTGCGTGCTCAGCTTTGCTGGATGGCAGCATGTCAGTCCAGTCCTTCAGCAGTGAGAACATTCATCGGCCGGCCTTGAGGGAGCTCCTCTGCAAAACACAGCTGGAGCACCCCCCTGACAACACACCCAGCTTTGACAGCCTGTACTGCCAAGTGAGCGTCACGCTTCGGGACGGCAGCACCATCAGCGACCGCTGTGCTACCTTCTACGGGCACTGGAGGAAGCCTCTGGAAAAGGACGACTTGGAGAAAAAGTTTCAATCCAATGTGCTCAACATCCTGCCCACAGAAGCCATGGAAGGCATTATAGAGACTGTGTACAACCTGGAAAAAGTAGAGGACTGTTCTGTATTAAGTACATTTCTATCAGGACAGTCTGCTAGAGCACTTCCAGAGAAGCTGCGCTTCCTTTGAATGTTCCAGCCAACAGCTACGTGCTCTTCACAAAGTCAATGCAAAATTCAGGACAAACTCTTGCTTAGTGACTCAAGCACTTTTAAATAAGACTCCTGTAACACAAGAACCATATTCAGTTCAATGTTGTGGGTTTTGATTAGGTAAATAATTTGGTGTTTATGTGCCCAGCTTAGCCAGGCTGAACAGAAGATCCTGTGTTGGCACAGCTGACCCCAGCTATCTTTGTACCTCTAGATGCAGAGCACTCACTGCTTGCTCACAGCACAAAAATCTCCCTGCTCCTCTGCCAAAAATCTGTTTTCTTCTTCTCCTAAATAACTCCAACAGGAAATCCAAACTCTGGAAGAGTAGGGAAGTCCTGTGTCTGTGAAAATCATCATGGTTAGAAGTACAGAGAATGAAAACCTTTTCATAATTATTTCCGTAGATTTGTCTCTACAAGCTCCTTGAAGAGGGAATCTGTTATGGCTGAGCGTTGACATTTGTGCTAAAATAAACCCAGCAGATGTAGGGAGGGGTAGCACTCCCTACTCTGCAGCATGTCATGTGTCTCTGTAGCCATTGCTCTTGCACTGAGGCAGCAAAGGCCTGGCCCCAGCCTGATCACACGAGTGCTGAGCACGAGGGACAGCTCCACACTCCTCACCATGAAGGCATTCTTGCCCAGTTCCACCTGCTGGCTGCTCTGTGGTACAGGCCTGTTCCTGTTCCATTCCTGCCCGTTACACGAGACACTGAGCAGATGATGTCAGTGTAGGTTACTTCAGGCCCAGCAGAGTGTGGACTGCACCACAATGGGCAGGAGTGACAGACCTGTGAGCACCAGAGCACTTCTTACCAACCCAGAGACAACTCAGTGTCCACAGTGAACCCAGACCATGAATTCCGGGAATTTTTTGTTCCTCCAGGAGTACAAAGCCTTGCCAGACTGAGCGTCTAAGAGAAGCTGCCAACCCTTTCTTCACATTTAGAAGATCAAAGCATGGTTTCTAATACATATAAAATTGTCTTCCTCAGGGCAATAAACAATGTATGCAAGAAAAAACATTTCAAAATAAATCTCATTAATTTTACTAAATAAATCGGAAATTACTTCATTTATTGGCGCAAAACTTGTGTATTTTCCACATGCAATGCATTCATTTGTGCTGCATCTTGGTTTATAAAGTTGGTTTACCTAGGGGCTCTGCAAAAATTTTGGAAGTCCATCAGTAGTACTTGCTTAAAGACTTGCAAGGGGAAAAAAGAACCCAAATAATCACATTCTTTTATTTTCCCCCTCTGATTAGAAATCAGAATTGAATTATTCACCTATACTGATAAACAGACTCATTTACAGCTACTTCATTTGTAACTGCAGCTGGGTACATTGCAATTGCTACTGCAGCTGAATACATTTGGATTCATTAAAAAAAAAAAAAAAAAAAAAAACAAAACCAAAGGAACTCTCCCCATCACCTTCAATATATGGTTTCTATTTTAAAAGAGAAATAGGTTAAATTCAGCAGTAACTACCTGATGTATTAAATATTAAAAAACACCCCACCACACCAAACAAACCAGGAACTGTGAAGTTTAGCAGTTGCATTATTTTATTAATTCAATCTAAGGAAGCTAAATGTTTATGCTTAGCTACACTGATTTCCTTGGAGAAGTCTGTACACTCCTAGTCAGGCAAGCTTCAGGACTTCTTGTACCATTGTTCCAATTCCGTCAAAGATTTCATGCAGAGGAGCTTTGCACATGAAAGCACAGGTAGTAACTATTTTATTGGCTTTATCCACATGGGATTCATTTACATTTTTGCAAATGTGCTTACATCCAAGCTCTGCTATAGCAGATGCCGTTTCAGCATCGGGAAATCTGTAAATGAAAAAAGACTTTAATTAACATAAAGGAATGATACAGCCATAAAATTCTGCACACATAACTTGAATGAGAGAACTACAATAATATCTACGTGAGTCTTTAACTGATGATGACAAGGGAGTTAGAGGCTGCTACTATCAGATTTTCCCATCCCCTATGGACATATCAAGTGATCTAATACCTTTGAAAACAAGGTCTGAAATACGGAGACACAATATGTCAGAAGGTACAATACTTTTTAATAATCTTTCCATAAGTTTGGAAGATGATACCAAGTGCAGCCATAACTGATCTTTAAAAGGTTGAGAGAAGCCAGCTGAACTTGCAACCTTTTCCAACACCTCCATGCAAGGTGTTCCTCTGGGATCTCCAGAGATTTTGATTTTTTTTCCCCCCTTCTGATAAGAAAGAAACAGATGCAATCTGTTCTGAACAGAATCTCCCACTATGGCTGCTGATAAATTTAATTCAGAAGTTTTATTGGGAGTTGACAGTTCTTGAAGCAGTACTGCTTTCTGCCAGGCCCTGTTCTCATCTCCCTCCCCTAAAGTGGCCCCAAACCACCACCACCAGAAAAACTTTATTAAAAATCACTGATTTAGCAGTTGGACTCACCCATCCTAGAGGACTTTTCCAATCTAAACAATTCTGTGGTATCTCAGATCAGTGTATACCTGGTTGTAGCCTGACAAGTCACCTGACCTCATGGATTCACTCTGTCTGCCCTGAGAGTTCTGTGCCTACTACTATTATTCTACTGAAAACTGTCACTAATTTTTCTTAAAAGTAACTAAAGAAACTTTTGCTCAGAAGCCTATCCATTTGCTAATCTTAATTCCAATGTAAATCATCTCCATCCATTTCCTTCTTACCTTCCATCAACATTTTTATCCTGACCAACTGTAACCTCACAGCCAGGAAAGACTTTGGCTGCCAGAACTGGTGATATGCAGCACAAACCAATGGGCTTTTTAGCACTGTGGAAGGCCTGGAGTGTGGAGCTCACGTGCTCGTTGACAGTACAGTTCTTGCCATCTACAGCCCAGGAACACAGATTCTTTGCTACACCAAAACCACCTAAGGAAAAAAACAAACCAAAACCAAAAAGCTCAAATATAAGGCACTGCCAAAAGCTATTACATTTGGTAATAGCACACACCAAACGGATGCTCTTTTTTACAACATAATCTTGGTATCAGTGGGACTGTTAAGTAACTGTACTGAAAGCCTTACAATGTCACTGTAACCTGTAAACAATGGGTTTACAATGTTAAAAGTTTAACTCTGCACTTTTTTATACCACGTAGGTCATATACAGGCCAGAAGGCTTAACCTTGTTTCAAAAAGTAACAACTAGACAAAGAGGAAACCTCACATTCTCCTGCACTCAATAAAGAAGAGGGACCAGAACACCACTACTAGTTAAAAGCACAAGTATGGAAGTAATGCAAACAGTGATTTGAGCCTCTATAGTAATGAACTCTCAAGTTTTATTTTTATGCTTAAGCAATTATAGAAGAGCTTTTCTTCTTCCCTAGAACTACTTTTCAACTTAAAAAAAGCCATTAACACAATAAAAAAACCATTAGGGATTTTACATAAAATAGACATTATAACATATGGTATTCTAAGACAAAAAAACTTGTAAATGATAACATAATTTCCTATTAAAAATAGTGCTGATTTGTCTTTCTATAAATTAGTTTTAACAATCCTTTAGATACATTTAATCATCATTTAATTGCATAAGCAGATTGTATTTTACTGCTCCTTTGTCTGCTGGATTTATAACCATCAGAATACTCAAAGTAAGGTTAGTCCACATGGAATGTGCACAGCATCAACTTTTCTCCAATAAGCATAAGGAAATTTCCACAAGTACTTGGGCAGACATCAAGAAGCTTTGCATTTTTAATATTTTTCCTTTCCCGGTTTGCTCACTTTCAAGTGTTATCTGAAATCTCTGAGGTAAGATTTTAATTTTCAAACTAAATAGGGTCTATTTCCCTCTAACAGTTATTACAGCAATCCCCCCGGGCCTGGGTTATAACAGCATGAAATTAATGTGGAAAACATCTGTGAGCCTCTACTCGCTCCTGATCAGCCCTGACAGCAACTGCTCACAGTGCAGGCAGAATTGTTTCTCTGCGTTATACACACGCTCCCTCTGCTGGCCTTACAGCAGTGTGAAAACTCCAAAATTAACAGGCCCAATCATGAAGGCAGTTTTTAACAGCACTATGAATATTCTGGAAACAGATCTTCAGCAAGTCATGATTTCCTCGTGATGCTCCAGCTTCTTCATTTCTAAAAATGATTACAATTACCTCTGTCTGGAATGAAATTTTGTGGTCTCTAAATGAAAAATTATCCATAAACATGTTTAGTACAACTCGATCAGCAGCTGAGTGGATACATAATTAAAACGGAATGTACTCCCATCTGACATGGAACATCATCTATTTGGAAACCTGCTATTCTGCCAACATTTTCAGAGGCCCTGAAATTAAGGTATTGCCATGTAACTGAGTTCTGACCCTATTTTTGTACTCTGGTCAGAATTCTTGTCCATACGTAAGTAGTGAAGTTTTCACAATATTCAGTAAGAAGGAATGGTGGGATGCATAACTTAATACCAAGAGAACACTCTGGCATTTTAACTTAAGTGAACTATGCATCAATAAATATATTGAGTTAAAAAATCACAATTTTCTTTTGAAAGATGAGCTCAGCTGGTCAGACCATGGTGCTAATAACACCAAGGTTGTGGGCTCAACCCCTGCGTGGGCCATTCACTTAAGAGTTGGACTCAATGGTCCTTGTGGGCCTTCCAACACAGAGTATTTTGTGATACCTACCAGGGAAAATGACAGCATCAAATTCACTAGCTTTCAGTTCAGCCAAATCCTGAATGTTTCCCCTTGCCAACCTGGCACTTTCAACTAACACATTTCTCTTCTCTTCTGCTGGACTTCCTTTTAGGTGATTGACTACATCCCTTTGCTCAATATTGGGGGCAAATATCTTCACCTAGGAAGAGAGATGAAGCAATTTTGTGAATGTAAATAAAACTCATACATATTTGTCACAATAAAGGTCATTTAATGAAAATAGGTTTTGTCCCTGAAGCCTCTTATCTAAGCCAAGCAAATTCCACAGGATGAATTTAGCACATTAAATATCTAAAGCAACATATGATATATTAGGATGGGTAAACACAGGCATTATTCCCATCCTATTACTGCAGCATTCTGACAGGAGAGTATTCTTATGCCAATATCAAGCTTACTGATTTTGCCAAGGCAGACAAGCCCAAGGCCAAACAGGACACCACAATTTATACCAGCAGCCCAACTGGACAGCAGCTGACTTTGAAGAAAGGTTGCTCTTAACTGTTATAGGATGAAAGTGACATAAAAAAGTTAAAGCTACGAATTTTACAAGCATTTCTAGAGCAAACATTAAGAGTTACCAGCTATCCTAAAACATCAGCAGCAGAAAGGAAGACCAAAACACAGGAGAACCGATTTTGGTTAGACACAAAAGGTGGACAGTGCATCAGAACACAAAGCCCTGTGACAGGGGTACCACAGGGGCTGCACCACTGTGTCTGTTTTGAAGCTTCCTTTGCAGACTTCTCAGAGACGACAATTTTGTGCTAAATATGAGGGTGCTGTTGTTACCATCAGACACCTGAGCACAGCTACACACAGACAGTGACCAGCTTCTGCCACCTGAAGCCACATATGGGACCAAAGCACACCACTATGTCCTGGCCCAGGCTTCTCTGACAAGTCCCAGCTTACCAAAGAGAGCCCAGAAACTGAGCAGAAAGCAAGCAGGTAATCCCCAGTGAGGGCTGCAAAAGCAATCAGAAGGAAGATAAAGACTTTTAACCCATCCTCAGCTCCCTGTGGCCAGAAGAGAGGGACAGGTCTCCACCTTCTCATCGCTCCTGGCTTCACAGGATCAAAGAATTCTAAGGGCTGGAAGGGACTTCTGGAGATCACCCAGTCCAACCCCCCTGACCATGCAGGGTTACCTAGAACAGGCTCCACAAGAATGCATCCAGGTGGGTTTTAGGTATCTCCACAGACAGAGACTCCACAACCTCCCTGGGCAGCCTGCTCCCACGCTCTGCCACCCTCAATGTAAAGAAGTTCCTCCTCATGTTGAGATGAAATTACTTGTGGTTTAGTTTATGGCCATTGCTCCTTCTCCTGTCACTGGGCACCATTAAAAAGAGTCTGGCACTGTTGCCCACAAAATTGGATTCATTACCTGGTGTGTGACAAGCAAATAATTACACCTCAAGAGAGACATTGATCATTTATTTCAGAGTCGTGGAAGCCTGGGTGTTCAGTGATATTCCACAAATCAAGCACACCCACTGGAGCTTTTGTGCCATTGTTTATACAGGGAAATTCAGAGAACTCTCCATGTGAAGCCCCTCTTTTACAATTGGTTGGTCACGGCCAAACAAGTTTTGTATCTCCAGTTAACTTCTACACATGCTGAGAGGAACAGCCCTCACCTGGGCAGGGCTGTCTTTGACTCTTAGTATAATAACTTATTTGTATCAATGAGACCCCTTTTCAGTCTTGTGTCCCCAGCTGCCTGTGCAACCTGAACTCCTGTCAGGGAGCCAGGCAGGCCTTTGGAGGGTTTGAAAATTTGAAAAATGCGTATTTTATGACTGGCTTTTTGCAGATATTAAAATGAGTATTATATGTGTTCTGTTAGAAAGTTATGCTGTACTAATTTTCTTAAGTAGTGTGTTAAATATAGTTTTAGGTAATAACATGATGTTAAAATAGAAACTAAGATACTTTTTTTAAAGAAAGGACTCACACCAAGATAGCACCCACAAGACACCTAAATCTTTCAGAGAAAAATAATTTATTGCTCCCTTATCAGAAGAAGCGAACTTTTTCCCATCTCGCTCAGGCCTAAAGACGCCGTTAGGATTAAGAAGAAGAGGCTGACACTGACCAGACAGAATCCTTTGTTTGAATGGAATTCATGCATCATGTATGAAGTGTATGACTATGCAACAGGCTATTGTTTTTAAGGGTTAATCCTGTTAACGGGTGGGTGTCCTTTTTCGGGCTTATTTTGCCCAGAAATAGGTACCCGGACGTCCGTAACTGTTTGTTTTTATTGTCTCATATTGTCCTAATCCAAATTGTCCGAAGTATTATTACTCTAATTATGTCGCTATTTTTGCAACCATTTTATTATTATTAAACTTTTAAAATTTTAAAAACAAGTGACTGGCGTTTTTCACAGAGGGGGAAGAATAAAACGAGGGGGGGACAGCATAAAGAGAAGAGCTTGTGGCTGAATGGGCTTTGTAGGGTGCAGGGGCGGCGCAGGGAGCACCGCAAACCGGGAGGGGCTCCTGTCCCACCACGGAGAGGGGACTCTCGGCTGCTGTGTCGCACGCACACACACAGACAGACACACAGACAGACACACACATACATCCCCACACCCCGCCGCCCCCACTACCTCCGCGCCGCCGCGGCTCAGGTGCACCAGCGCCGCCGAGGCCTCGTGAATCTCGCTGCCATCGAAGACGCCGCAGCCGGCGAGCACCAGCGCCACCCGCTTGCCCATGGCAGCCGCCCCTCGGGCCCGGCAAGGAGCTGCGCCAGGCGGCGGGCCCGGGCCTGGCACCACGGTCCCGGTCCCTGCTCCTCCTCCTCCTCCTGCCGCGCCTGCGCCGCCGGCTCCATCTTCCGGCAGCGTACGGGCGAGCGGGGCGGGAAATAAATAAGGAAAAGTGGAAAGCAAAGGGCAGGCGTCTCTAGTTTTAAACAGAACATATTTTGGAGCTCAGACATATTTTCGGCCCCACGGCTGGCCTGGCTGCGCCCCACAGCAGGGCAGTGACGGGCGGGTGCCGCACGGTGACCTCGGTGCGCTGCAGAACGCGCGGCCCTGTCGCTGCGTTCAGTGTTGGGCCTTGTAGAGCCTCAGGGGGTGCCTGTTGGGCCTTGTAGAGCCTCAGGGGGTGCCTGTGAGGTGGGCTTTGTTTGCCGGGTTTGTTCTGCACGTAGGGCTGTAATTGTGTAATGAAAGTCGACTTCCAAATTGCTTTGAAAGCCAAAGAAAAAAAGTAGAGTTCGGTAAGGAGCCTGCGGTACTGCTGGGTCCTGATGCTGTTTGTTTCAGTGACCCCACCTAAGCCTTTTTTCTCCCTCAACTTCATGCCTGGTTTCAAGGAGCTGCTCCACTTTATCAGGAAAAACTGAGCTATTTTAGCAAACGAAACTTTCTTCCCACTTAGTCCCTTAGGACATTGCTTTAGTGAACCAAAAGGGAGAGAATACATCCCATGTTTCTTCTTTAGGACTGTGCACACGAACGCCACACCAGGCATCACCTGCATTGAATTTCACAAGCTCTTGGTCCTTTGTTTTTCATGAGCTGCCTCTCTTATAAGAAGAAGACGCTTGTGTTTAATAATGAAAACTTACTCTTCTACTGAACCAGAGGACTGAAAAGCTAGATCTTGTAGAAAAATTAGAGTGTCTTCCAAAAATTTGGAGTATGAGTTTTCTGCAGAGGACATGAGAGTGAGCAGTCCGGGCAGAACTAAAACAACATTTGAAAGCAGAGCCTTCTCCTGCAGCAAAATGCATTTGGTTGAATACTGATTGGTTGGGAGTCTGTGTGGCATGGTAGACAGGGAGATTCTGGAACAGGGTAGGGCCAGCTTAGAGAAATTCCCTGCTGAAGGGCAGACTCCTGTCTGCTGGGCAGTGTTTGCTCCAAACGGGTGTAGGGCTTCAGCTCAGCCTACACCACAGCCCACACTCTGCCTCTTAGGATTGAGCATTAGAGGATAGCTCCACTGAGAGTCTGCAGAGCTGGAATCCCACTGGAATCATCTTTATGCTTGAGAAGGAATTCCTCTCTGTATCTTCTGCCTGGAAGGAGTTGAAGCTCTGTAGGGGGATACAGTATGAAGGTGTTATAGAATGTTATCCCCCAAACAGTTGCAACTGAACCAATTACTAAAGATTAGGAGCAGGCCTGATCTTAACAGGCCACACCTGTAGCCAATAAGAACAGTGGTAAAGAAGAGTGGATTGGTGGGATCTGGAGTTAGATGATTACTGCAAGGAGCAGGAAGAGTCTGTGCTTAGAGGAGTTGCCTATGAGAAACATCAAGGAGGTATGAAACTCTGGCAGTATGGGATCCTTGCACTCTAATGATAATAGAACTCTTGATATATAAGACAACAAAGCTCAATGCATTTTTGGAGAAAGGAGTGTAGGCCCAAACTCTGCTGTTAGGGCCAGGGTTAATGTTAGAGCTAGGGAAGTGAACACCCTCAGGACTACAATTTCCTGCTCCTTTCTGACCTTACTGGCTAGTCTTTCTGGATGGATCCTGGACCTGAATTGTCTATAACCTCATCTCCAGTCTTGTTTCTGGCCCTGTCTTTTAGATGGGTCTCAGATTCATGTTATAGGTGGTACTTTTTCCTGGATGTTCCCTAGACTTGGCTGGGATATGATAATCCTATCCCACTTCAGGTTCTTTATGTCGCACCTCTGTGCCAGCTCTGTTCCCTGATCCAGCTCCAACTTGTTTGTGCCATATCCCTGGCCTGACTGTGTGACCTTGTCATGGCCCTCTGTGTCTTAGGTCCATGTTTTCATCCCAGCTCATGACATGGCCTTGCCCTAGCTCTCTGTCACCATAAAGTAGCCCTAAGAGGACTCTTCTCCATCCTGTGTGGGTCACTCTTCCTGCACATCCTGTGAGCTGGCCTTAGCACAAGTAGTGTAATCCCAGCCTCTAAACTGCTGTACCTGGGGCTGCTGCTGGATTCAGCCACTACTATGGGCCTGTTCCCTTCCAGAAACAGCAGTGAGGTTCCACCTCGAGTCTGATCACTAGAAAAATCCATGGTGGTGAGGCAAATGCAAGGCTGGAATGACCAATGCACTGGGTCTGCATCAGTGGGGTACACAGCTGGGTCCAGGTGTGGCTGCACTGTAGCTCATGTGGGAGGCAGGAGCTTTGGCTTAAAAGCAGCTCACCAGGAAAGGAGCAGGGAGCCCCTTCTGAGGTGGCTCAGCAGAGCAGCAGCAGTTTCTGACTTTCCTCACAAGTTTTTATCAGACCTTGAGCAACCAGCTGCACACCCTGATGGGAAGAGAGCAGGTACTGACCCCTCCAGGCTTCAAGGGATTGAATTACAGCTCTGCCCTAGACTGCAGACTTTTTCCTGCTGCCCAGGATTTGAGATATATGTTTTCTCTGGTGGAAATCCTGCTTTGAGGTGCCTTAGTTGCCTGACAATGGCTGTTAGCTTAAATTTGACTTGGACAGCTCTTTGTATTTCATAGGCACCCAGCTGACTCAATTCACTTATCCCTACCCTGCAGCAAATCCCAGAGGGTTCATCTCAGTTTAAAACTCATGATGAACTTCCTCTGCATCCTTATCCCAACCCTCATCCTATCACTCAGGATTCAGCAGAGCAACCCCCGCTAGAATTTCAGCTCGGAAAGAAATAATTTCCATCACCTGGCCCCTAAGCTGGCAGACATAGGAAGAGCTGCTCTGCAATCCCAAATGCTTCCTGAACTGCACATCTGTCCCAAGCACAGCTCTCACCCTAGCTGCCAGGGTCGAGGAGATACTGAGGGGAACCCTTAGCAGTATCTTACAAAGCCCAGTCATTCCCATCTCCTGTAAAACAAGACATGGCTTTCTCCCAGCCCGGCTTACAGCTCAGGTGGCATCTCAGGCTATGTAGCAAAGTGTAGGTGCGCAGGAGCCCTGTTTCTGGCTCTTTTTCTCAAAATTCCTTCCTTACCCCTCAAAAGCAGAGATTGTGCCTCTGACTGATGAACTCCTGTCTTTCACAGCAGCTTCAGCATGATTTCAGGTGATGTTTGTATTTCTCAGTATGTGTCCAGCTGACTCAATAGCTGACATATGCCAGTGTGAGTGGGGAAAAAAAACCTGTGATGAGTAAAGCTGCCAGATGTGTAGCTTTATCTGCTGTGTTTTCAGTAGATAGCTTTAGCTTTATCTGCTGTGTGTTGTTTTCACTAATCAAAAAAGAAAATATTCTGGGAAATGAGAAAAATTTAGGAATCCTGTCAGGTCTAAAATTGGATCTTTGTAGCCAGTTTCAGTATTTACTCAAAGCCTGTTACTGGACAAAGATGCAGATCAGCTCTGTGGGTTTATAATGGGGAATTTGACAGGTTTCTGCATAATAAACTAGACAATTACTTTTTAGCTCTAGTATATTTATTCATAAATATATTAGTGGTTTATTTTCTATGTTCACAGCATAACTTAGGTTGCATGAGAAAACCAAACCAGTACCTCACTGCAGAAGTTTCCTGTGGGATGTGATGAAGTGAGATATAAAAATGCTATTAAAAAAAAAATCAACCCCTTCAGCATCTACATAGTGGAGATTTAATAATCCACACTGCAAACATATGCTGAGTGAGGTCTAAGAACCTGTTTGTACTGCATTTCTAGTTTGGCTACTGAGCAGTTATGGCACCTTCATTATGCCTTTTCACTTCCTTGCATCCTGATTTCAAAGAAGGGATAAATTAGCCTTCCTTCATTTCATAAAGCACTTCCAGAGTTACACATCTAAATCTCTAGCACTAGGAACTATGGCAATATTCCAAACAAACACATATCTTTTTGAACAGATATAAGAGCTGGTATACTGTACTACACTCAAGCTGTGCAACACACATGATTACTGGCACTCTTTATTTTCTAACAAATAAACCCAGAGATTTTATAAATCAGACACAATTAACATGCATGAGATTAAAATGAGATATGGAAATGTAAGTATGTATTGATTATGTAAGCATACATTAAATTAATGTATAGTGCTGAATGGCATGGATTTTAAAAATAAACACTATAGAATCAGACAGCAGGAAAGTGAGATAAGGAAATGTTCCTGAAATTAAAAGTTTTAAGTTAAAAATGTTAAGTTTTTCTGAACATCTTTAGTACCCCCAGCATTATTGAAACTGATATTCAGCAGCCTACCCTGCAATTTTATGAAGGAGGCAGGGTTTTCCACCTGCAGTTTTGTTTGAATATATAGCCTAGCACAGTGCTGACTAGAGAACTGATTGTTCTTTAGGGGCTCACAAGAAATGAGCAGGGATGTTTTTCTGGTTCCTGATAGTCAAAAGTCCACAGCACAGTTATTATTTACCAAGTGAGTAGCATACACCAGTGTTTTCACTCTGCATGCCAACTACTAAACTTAGCCCTCTGGACTCTGATGCCAGCATAGCCAGCTGTGAACTCTACTGAGCTGGAAAAAGCTGTGTTTTCTGCAGGGATGCTGCTGAAAAACCTGTCTTCACAGTTTCTCTTAGTTCATCTGCAAGACAGAAGTTCTTATCTGCAAGATAGCTCTCACTATTACCATAAAGATGAGAGAATAAACTGCTATATGATTCCTGTAATGTAAAGTGTTACAATTTGAAAAAGCATTCTGAAATGGGTGATGGATATACAGACTTAGCTTGAAGCCCTGAAAAGTTTCAGAGAAGACTTCTGGGCAGTCTGAAGAGGCTCAGGGTTACAGGGTTTATCACAGCAGAAGCCTCTCTGCCATTTGGTGAGGCCTCACGTCATCATCCTGAGGCCAGGCCCAGAGGTCAC